GTTGACGACTAAAACCACTGAAAATGAAAAGGGTGGACAGGTTTGATTTAATGTTTGTGCTTAATGCTTTAAAGTATTGAACAGCCATAAAGAATGAACACTGAATGTGTCGACATTGAGTTAATAATTGATTAAAATATGATTTCTCATTAGTTATTTTTTGATTTCACGGCATCATCTAGAAAAATTAGTGAATGCAAAAATTTTATCAAAATTTGAAATAGAAAGTGTTTCAAATAATTCGTCCCTTTGTTTATCAATAATTTTATCCTCTAATCCTTGCTTCTTGATTGTATTATATAACTCTTTATACATTAAAAAGTTTTTCAAATAATCTTCCGCTTCTTCTTGTGATAAATAAATAATTGGAATTTTTATTAAATGCTTTAATGATTCAAATGTATCATCTGAAGGTGAACCAGAACGGTTGATATAAATTAACACATGAGAATAAGGTGAAGTGTTAGCAATAATGATAATTTGTTTTAATATCGTTAATGTTTTACCTTTATTTTGTTTACCAATTGCTGCAGTGATTGAATTTAAGTAACATTCAGAATATGGAATTTTCATTAATTTTTCCTTAGATAGAGCATTTTATTATCACTCAATGCTTCATTAATCATATCATCTACGTATGTATTATATACTCCCGCTAATTCTTCAGAATTGAAATCCATTTAATCAAAAATAAATTTATAATTTTAAACATTTCTATTCATCAATATTTCATCATATGAACTTCTATACTGTGGTGGTGTACCTGTTGGATGATATTTCAAACCTTCATCCGGTGTCCATGTCCAATATGTAGTCCTAGTAAACCAAACCTGAGGAGGATTTGTCACCTTTGAACAGTAAGTGTCATTTTCACCCTGAATGATTGGATAAGCTTTCACTTGTACTGTAACTTGTGAGTTGAAAGTTTCTAATCCATCAAAGAATATACCCGCTCCATCACGTTGAACTGGAATAGTGCATAAGAATGAAGTTTGGTCTTTCCATGTTCTAGCTAATGGCGTACCATTATCATCATTCAGTGGTCTAGTTAATGAGTCCTCGTATTCTTCTGTGCATTCATTCACTCCATCTAAATCGAAGCTTGAAGCATACGTGTAAAGAATATGTCACCCACTGTGGTCATCGCTTGATCGGGGAAGTTTCTGGAATCTATAGTGACCTGGAGACCTCGAAGCATTGGATTTTCTAAAACCGTTCTTTGCATTGCATTCTTCGGAAATGTTAACACAACATCTGTAACATTATGAAGAGCGTATGAGAAATCAGAACTGATACCTTCAGGAGTGATGCAACCTCCATTTAGTGAACGAACGTCAATATGTTGAGCTGGAATCATGAATGGATCTTCCTTACTGAATAAACGTGGTATTGCTTTAACTGATTCTTCAATTAAACCGTATCCTGGTGTAATGCATTTATCCTCTAAAACTTCCATCTTTGTGCATGAAATAATAACGTCTTCAACTGTTGCGTCAGCAGATGTAGCGGCTAAGCTTGTAATTAATTTTGCAGGAAGTCCGATTTGTTGGAATTTGCGATCATATTTATAAACATGATTCATAATCTTTTCATAATTTTCATCAGTTATCTTTTCATAAACGTAATTTTGTAAATCAGCAACTCTTAACGGGTCAACCTGACAAAATACTAAAGTATCCCTGAAAACATAATATTTAAGAATGATTTCACCAAATGATTTAGGATAATCATCGAACGCCTGAAATGCTAACAAATCATTTACCGGAATAATCATATCAAAAGTGACATCAACTTCTTCATTTGCTTCTTGAAAACTTCTGAAGGGTCAATATATTTACCACATACTGAGTTATCATATTTTTGAACATTATTATATAATGAATGAACAAACTTTTTAACTTTCCTTTCTGATTTTGGTTTATATGTTGCAAATGCGAAAGATTCACGGGCGCAATCCATCTGAAGATAACCGGCATCACCTCTTTCGGTTTCTACTTCTAATTGTTTAAAGTTTGATTTGATGATTTGTAACCAACGAATAAACGCATGCATTTAAAAGCGGCATCACATGTGAAAGCTTTATTTGAAACTAGAGTTGCTTTAACTTTGCGTTTAATATATGTGTCACCTAATTGGTTCACATCATGAGCCGGATTTGTAATTCTTAAATGAGTTTGTTTATCATCAAAATATGGAGCATCAGAGTCATAGCATGAACTTTCAAGTTCTCTATAATATCTTCTACCGTCATTCTTTGCGAATATTTCATTTATCTTTTCGAATGAATGAAATACATTTCCATTAATCGGTTTAGTGTTTGGCACCAAATAGTTAGTCGTCATTTATGATGAAATAAAAAAATCAAAATTAAAAGATGAAAATGAATTTTTAATTTTAATGAAATAATCAACTATGGCTGCAGGATTTTAAAATTATGGGATAAAGTAAAAAGAGGAGCGCATAAAGTTTGGGAAACAATGAAGAAGGAGCAAATTGGATATTTAAGAATAAAGAAGCAATTAGTGACGTTGCAGAACAAATAGCACCTAATGTTCCGGTAAGGGAAGTATTAAATAAAGGAGATAAAGTTTATCGTCGACTACAACCGATATTGAGATAAAAATAATATTTATTTTTCCACTACTTTCCTCCTATTTTATTAAGTATTCCTTCAGCAATTCCACCAACTGCGTTACCTGCTTGTGCTCCCATCGCTGGATTACCTGCTTTAGCACCTAATACTCCACCTAATTATAGTTCCTGCCGTTTTCGCTACTGGTGCCAAAAAGTTTGCAATGGGTTTTATTATTTTCTGATGAACCCAACTTGCAGCTTTCTTAATTCCTTCCCATAACTTTTTAAAGAATCCTGCAGCCATTTCTGATTTAATATTAATTAAAAAATATATTTCATCACTTATATTCTAATTTTTATTTAATGATAAATGAAACCGATTTTAAAAATAAATGAAACAGAGGAGGAAGAAATAAATGAAAGTGAAATGTTCAAAAAAAATAAACATTGTTAAACCATTACTGAAACAAAAATTTTTTCATCTGTTGAAGAATTTAATGACTATTATGCTAATAATAAAAAATTATTTGAAGAATTGACAACATGTAAATTGAATAAAATGTTTAAAGTTGATGGATTCAAAATTTCAAAAATAAAAGGTGTTGTTAGTTTAAATCTATTCCTCAATCAAGAATCACCTCATTAATGAAAATTGATGATTTAACAAAAAGAATAGAAATTATTGAAGAAAGAATGAATCAAATAATTGATTTCATAAATCATGACTCGTTGAGCCCGGGTCCTTAAAGTCCAAGGCACAAAGTGCCCAGACTTAAAGTCCATCACTGAGTTCAAGGTTATATTCATCAAATATTTCATTATTAAATGCAACTTCTGCTAGTTTATTTATTTTTTCAATACGATCATTTGAAAGTCTATCGTTTAATTTTTTCTGAAGTTTTTCATTTTCTAGTTCTGAAACTTTATTTGGATGATATGTAAATTCATGAAATTCTTTTTCCTCAGTTTTGATCATTAATTTACAAAGAACTTTTGTGGTTGGAATTCGTTTGAACCATTTATCCTTAATATTTGTTATAAATTCAATATCTGGAATTAATTCCCAAATTTTTGCATTTTCAATTAATTTATTATCAAATGCAAAAGCAATGGGTTTAATATTATGTTTACCTTTATAATATAAACTTTCTACATAATCATCGAAATAAACATCTACTTGTTTAACATTTTCAAGAATTGGTGAAAGAGCATCCATTAATTGATTGACGGTTACGAATCTTGATCCACTCATTTTCTTACGAATTAAAAAAATAAATTATTCATAAATGTCAGAAGAAAATATTTAAATAAATTATTTAAATTTTTTACTCTATTCAAGAATTTTATTTTTGATATAACTCATTGAATTCAAAATTTTTTAAAAAATTGACACCATATTTGGAATCTATGCAAAAAATATATTCTTTTTATTAATGGTAATATAGGAATTGTAGGAATAAAAACTTTTTATAAATTATTCATAAATTTTTAAAATCTGCTATTCAGAAGTATGTTCAAAAATCATTCAATTATGTGAGAATTCTTACGATTACAAAAAAAGTCACACAACCCGCATACATATACTACTTTCGAACTAAGCCGATCGCTTCGCTCGCGGCTTTCTTTATTATTTTAAATTTGCATATTTCCATCAAAAGTTCATAAGGTAAAAAATTTCGTTTATTTTTACTAAGAAAAAAAAGGTTTTTGATAATAAATTTATTTTATTTCGAAAAAGTAGCAATAATCGTAAAAGGGTATTGATAGGCTTGCTAAAGTAACTAATTTTAGCTGTCAAATACTTTTGTATTTTGAAGTAAATTAGTATAAATTTGTTTTTACTTTTATTTCGAAAAAGTAGCAATAATCGTAAAAGGGTATTGATAGGCTTGCTAAAGTAACTAATTTTAGCTGTCAAATACTTTTGTATTTTGAAGTAAATTAGTATAAATTTGTTTTTACTTTTATTTCGAAAAAGTAACAATAATCGTAAAAGGGTATTGATAGGCTTGCTAAAGTAACTAATTTTAGCTGTCAAATACTTTTGTATTTTGAAGTAAATTAGTATAAATTTGATATTATTTTAACTCCCTTTGAAAACCTCAATTTTCCATACAGAGGGAACGGGAATAGCATCCAATATTCCCTGAGAATGGTTGCGCATTCTCAGTTCCCTCTATATTTCGAACGAAGCTCTCATCGGTCTTTTTTTTAATACTAAACGTTTTTCCCCCTGTCACTTTTAGCTAAAATTTGGGTTTGCCTTGGCAAAATTTCGTCATTTTCATGTCGGAATATTTCAAAATGAAGATTTTCTTCATTTTAAGAAGTTCGAATTCTTTGTCCGATGATTGTCAATCAAAGTTCAATAAATTGTAAAATTGTAAATTTTTCCTCAAGAATAATCGTTATTCTATAATTTTCAAATGATGAAGAATTTTTTACGTGAAATATCCGAAGAATCTAATGAATACAGACAACAAGCAATGAGAATAGAAAATATGTCTCGAGAACTAACAAATAAATATCGGGAATTAGAATATTCGGCCCATAATAGAATTTCTCAATCAGAAAGACCAGTTTCTGCAACAAAACGTACATCAAATGTTGTAATATCACGTGTTGTACAAAAACAGCCTCAAAGACTTACATCAAGATCACTTTCCATGGATTATATGAATACAAAACGCACTCCAAGTACCGCTAGAAGACCTAATTTTATGATCACTCAAAGAACTGTTGTTCATAAAAAAGAAAATCCAGTACCTAAAACCTCAAGATCTCAAGGAAAAGCAATTTTTGATTTAGATGCAATTCCGGATCCAAAAGCTAACCAAAGAGTTAGAACAGCTCTTAATCAACCAGATAGATTTAGAGATATTTAATTCATTTTTATATGATATTTTTTTGTTTTGTTTTTGTTAAATTATATAATTTTCGTATTGTTATTAAACTGTAGCACAATTGAAAAACTGCATAGGAATTAATATTTGCAAATATAAAATGTTGGATAATAATTTAAAACTCGAATTGTGGCAACATGAATGATATTTCCAGGATTTACTGCAAGATCAAATCAAATTATTTCTAATTTTAGCTTGAAATCCGATCAAAAATATGATTTGAAATTGAAAATCTTGCAGAAATTATATAATTTATAGATATATACTACACGAAACAAGCACTATAACCTTTACTTGTAGTTTTGCGATGATATACAGTTTGCTTATTTCAAAAATTTGCATTTGTCACATCGGTAAAAATTTGAGTCTATTTCAATTACAAACTTTTAAATTCTTGTCAGCTGTAATGTACGCACAAGTATCACAATAATATTTCTGAAATCGGTAGATGGAAACATTGAAAATATTTTTTTTCTGAAGAATACTGTTTACATGGAAAACTGTTTGAACACATAATTTCTGAACTAATATCGTTTTTTTAGTATTGCAAATGACACGTGGACCACAATGTGATCGCGAGCGGGCTCGTGCTGAAGCTAGAAATGCCAAGCATGAAAAGAAGGGCGCTACAGGCGATCTTGCCACAAGAAAGGAACGTGATGCTGCAGCAATGCGCGCTAAACAAGAAGCTGCCGCCGCAAAGAAGGCTGCTGGTGAACAGTAGGCAACTAGGAATAAATTGTTTTAACTTTTGATAATTGTTTATTCATTTTTATATACAAATTTCTTTTTCTTATTCCATTATCCAACGCTATTACTTGACATTGTAATAGTAATATATAACTATATTATCCAAATGGCAAAATTGAGTAATATCTACACCTAATCATTTTTCGATATAATATTAACTTGTGAAGAGGATAAATTATTCACAATGGGTATTATACAGATATGGTGCATCTGTATCAAGCACTTTCCCCTTAAATGAATAATGATAATTTTCCATTTTCGAAATATCATCGAAACTAAGATGAATTACACAACAAAGTTAATGAATAACCCACCGTAAATACCTTAGATCTATATTATCTCTCTGATATATCTGTTATATGAAATTTTTAAGGCTCGAAATCAAACTCTCAATTTTGAGAGAACTCTCAAATTATGAGATTGTCGAAGCGCTTTTATCTCATCATCTAAAAGGATTCAAATGAAATTTCCTAGAACAATATGTACCCATAATGATCCATGTATATAGTTTATATATTACACTGAATAGAAGAAGTTCAATCTCCACGAACAGAGGAAATTTAGAGACTAAAAATTTATGCACATCAAGAACTTAAGTTCGTATGAATTAGGTCTCATATTTAAAATATAATATGTTGTATCGGATTTATGTGTTAAACTTAGAATATTTGTACCAATTTATTCCTGTCTTATAACTGAGTGCAATTTTCTTATCGATTTTCACTTCATTCAAGAGGATGGATGAACTAGATCATTTTAAGAGCACCATAACTGTAACAGGGTCTAAAGAAGATGTGGAAAGATTTATTAATGAATTCAAAGCATCAGCTATCAGAATTAAAGGAAAAGATAATTTGTGTATATGCCAGTTCGTAGATCCACTCCCAACATTCGTATACTACAGTGATGGCTACTATCATAAAGTAGAAAATAGACCTCTTACTCAAAAAGAAAGATTAATTTATGCAAACTCAAAGAATTATATGGAAAATTTTTGGGGAATCGTACACGGCTGTGTCGATGGTAGGTTAATACGTGTAAACGAAAATAAGGTGAAGTTTAAGTATTGGACTCCTCTTACTATGATTTCACCAAGAATCTTAATTTTGCTTCATAACAAGTATCCAAATGTTACTATTGACTTTAAGGGAAAGGATGATATTGAATTTATTCCAGGAAACGAACTTAAACCTGTTGAATATAGCATTCCGGGAGGCTCTCCTTTAGCTGATGTTGCGGAACTTGATAGAGTTCAATTAGAAGTTTACCGGCGAGAGAAGGAACGACTCCAAAACTCCTTTTTTAACTCATTCAGAAATTAATGATCGAATAAAACAACAAAACTTTAAATTCTAACATATACCACTGATTATAAAGTCGCAAATCTTATTGGAATTGAATAATAACAAATACTAATAGATTTTTTCTGAGAAAGTCCAATCACAGGGATTCTAAAACATATTTTGTTTCAAATTGCAATTTTTTGAAAAACAATCAAGGAAATTCATATAATGGAAAGATCAGTTGCTCTGGATATATAACGATTGAAAACTGTTCTATACTTGGAAATGAAGGTCCTACTGGATTTAATCTTATTTACAAAGAAGATGGCTCTGTTACAGTTAAAAACTGCTATGTTCAGAGTTCTCCAACTATCCAAGAAGGAATTGACACTGATAACATCAAATATGGAGAAACTTATCTAAATTTATCTCATTTATCGACATTCAACTGCGAAGCCCCAATTCCTATAATTTATAATCACGAAAATAAAATCAATAAAGAAGATGACACATTATTTGATTTGAAGATTGATTGTTGTATTTATATATTTGAATAGTTTACAAAATTTTTGCCAAAATCATTAGATATCAAGTGTCTCATTTGATGCGTGGAGTCACTTTTATAAAGAAAACAATCGATCAAATCCTCTTTCATGCATCAATTGCAAACCAAATGTTACCAACCAAGAGTGCTATGTCTTACTCAGTCAGTTCTTTGACTTAAATGATGGTGCCATCCAATATTCTACTAACAACATCAAAGTATTACACTCAGAATGCAACTTTAATAACAATTCACGAACAGAGAATGGCGGCAGCGTTTATTTTAGCTGCAAAAGTTCACTTGTTCAATACAAAATTTGTTCTTCATCTTCAGAGACAACTACATCTGATTGGCAAGGCGGCCATCACTCATATTCAGATTGTAATTCCCCAGACAAATTAAATTTCATTTACGATTCAACAATTTTTCATTGTGGTAATTTAAACTCACAGAAAACAATTTATTTATACAATGGAAACATTTCCATTCGCTCAACAAATATCAGTAAATGCACAGCATTATATCATTCAGGATATTATCTTAAACCATCAACAGAAGCCTCAGTTTCATTTTGTACTATTGAAAACACAACAACAAAAGAATATCAAGTATTATCTCATTATAATGATGATTATAAAACATATTTTGTTTCAAATTGCAACGTTTTGAAAAACAGACAAGGTAGTTCATCAAATGGAATAATTAGGTGCTATGGATATATAACAATTGAAAACTGTTCTATATTTGGAAATGATGGCCCTTCTGGATTTAAACTTTTTTACAATGATGGAGGATCATTTACAGTTAAAGATTGTTATATTCAGAGTTTTCCATCTATTCCAGGTGATATTGTTACTGATAACATCAAATATGAAGAAAATTATTTAATTTTATCTCATTTATCGACATTCATCTGCGAAATTCCTATACTTAATAATAACAAAAATAAAATCAATAAAGAAGATGACACAAATTTAAAAGATTGTTCTGAATTTCTCAAATTTTTAGTTGCTCCTTTATCATATTCGAATAAAAATTCATCTGAAATACAGATATAATAAAATTCATAAAATATTTAATTGCGTCTTTTTTTTATAAACTCATTTTTTCTATTTGGAGGTACTTTTTATTCAATTTCTATTGTAACCATATGGAGAGCTCAAGCTTATATGTTAAAACATTAAGTTTGGACATGCTAAGACGTGTGAGTATTACTTTCCTTGTATAGGGGCATTAAATACTGTTTGATGCTAATATCTTAATTCAAATTCATTTTCATATTTTAAAATAGAGAGATATAATTTATTACGCAATTTGGTACTTATGCTTTATCAATAGAAAAACCAAAAAAGTTAATGAAGTTTCATTTGAGAAAAAAAGAATAAAATAAGGAATGAAGTTTTTTTTAGAAGTGAAATAAATAAAAAATTAGAAAAATTAAACTTGAATTTGGTTTGTCAGTTCATTTCGTTCTTCTGCATTAATATCATTCTTCTTGTTCTTGTAGTACTTCCAGCCAAAGAATGAACCAACACAGACAACAGCAACTAAAGCTAATACACCAATTACGCCGCCAACAATCTTTCCAACTTTGCTCTTGTTGATTACTGAAATTTCTTCATCCTCCAAAATACTTCCATCTGCTAATTCGACTGATTTCAATGAAACCATAAGTGCAACTTTAGTCTCTTCATCACTCTCAGAGAATGCGTTTGGATCTTGATCTTCATCACAAATTGCATCGAATGTGACATTCTTTACACCTGGTGTCATTGATCCGAATTCTAATCTATCTTTCCACTTGTTGCATTCATCGACGGAGAACTTAGCATAAACAATTGTCTGTGGTGTATCAATCCACTCATTGACAAGAAGATCTTTGAACTCTTCTTCTGTTTCATCGTAAACAAGCAAAATTCTATCTGGAGTTTCACTTATATTGTTTGCATCAATGACAGGGAATCCGCCTTCTTTGAACTTGTATCTGATCTCAAGAACTTGTTCTGTGGCTTCGGAAAGAGGTCCTCTTCTGAATGACATAGGAATGTTGTGACTGAACTTCAATGTATCAATAGTTATTCCACTTCCTGGTAACAATGTAACATTTCCTGAAACAGCTGCTTCTTTCAAGACTGGTTTGCAATTTGCGTCAACATTGAATTCAACAATGTTTAGTTCCATTTCTTGGTTTAATGGATTTGTTACAGAAATCTTTCCATTGACACTTCCTCCTGCATTCAAAACTGTCAAATTCTTGATATTGACATCAACTTGTGAATTAACATTCAAAACAATCTTCTTGCCAGCACCTGTTATCTCTGTGGATCCTTCCAAGTTCAATTGCGTCATTCCTGTCTCTGGATTGATTGTGACGTCACCACTTCCTTGCAACGAAATATTTATTCCGTTTGGCAAATTGTTCAAATTCAATGCACCTGTAGAATTAATTACAACACCGTTTCCCCAGTCATAACCAACACCAACTTCGTACTGGAAACTGATGTTTCCAACTGTCTTTGACTGTGCAATGTTCAAGCCGATTCCTTTAGTTCCATTACCAGAGAATTTGAGTGTTAATCCGGTGGAAGGAATTTCGATTTCAGCGTTGAATGCGGATTGAATTAACTCTGTCTTGATGTTTTGAGCAACTTGGTTTCCTTTGATTTCGAACTCTTTTGGTGTGACTTCGATGGCACTGACAATGTCATTGACTGCTAAATTCAATGTGCCAAAAATGGAGTTTACAAAACCGCCGAATGATTTGACATCCATGTTTACGATGTTTTTAGAGAAATCTACGGCTGTTTTATCGAACGCTTTGGCAAGAGATGTGTTCTTGAAGTCCAATATCGGTGCGAAAAGCCTGAGGGCATCGAAGTTTCCGCTGTCTGAATCTAATTCGACTCCATTAAACGAAACAGAGCCATTGTAAACGTTTCCGAACTTGAGAGATCCTTTAACGTTTACTTTTGGCCTTTGTTGTGAACCGGAACCATCGAAAATCAAGTCTTTTCCGATGAAATTAGCGAAATCTAAAGCGGAAGCGGCATCTCCCATTCCGAATGTTACCAATACCTTCTTAGTAAGGTCGTGGACATGGTTAATGACTTCTCCAGCGTTATCTGGTGAAACAGGGAATGTTCCTGCTGGACATTGTTCCTTTGACTTTGCGAAACAGTATTTTTCTGGCATCCATTCAGGTAATTTCGGTAATGTTACATTGACACATTGTTGCTTTTTGCTGTTCTTGAAACAAGTGAAATTTGGTTTTGGCATTGGGAGATTTTCGACTCCTGGTATCATATTGAGGTCGAATTTGTCACACTCGAACTCTGTGGCTGAGCAGAAAACAGTGATTGGATTGGAAATGAGTTTCTTGACATCTTGGAAATTGGATATTTCCGAAATATCACTGATGATGTTGAATTTCGTGTCTCTGATCTTCGACATCTTGAATTGTTTCGTTACATCAATCCTGCCAACTTTAATTTCCCCATTTGTTGTTAATCTTGTGTCAATTTTGCCTCCTGTAGCGATACTGAGTACTTCCATGACCTTTCCTTCGATTGTGGCTGCGATTCCTTTGAAGATTTTAGTGAAAATTCCAGAAATTCCTTCAAAGAATTCTGAATCCATGGAGATACCAACGTTATCACTGAGATCAAGTTTGTTATTTGTTACCAACTTGCCAATAACAAACTCAATTGGTGACTTTGAGATGTTTTTGAGGATTTCAATTGCATCATCTTTGTTTGGAAGGTCCAATTTGCCTTGGATACCAGCATAAACCTGATCTACAATGACCTTGAGTGCATCTGTACCTTTGTTTATGATGGAAACTGGAATTTCACGGCCGGCGATATGAATTTTGGTACTTTTGAGGTGGTTGAGCTCCATAAGTCTGTTACCAAAAATTAATTCGTTGAAATTGATACCGTTCGTGATTCTTCTCCAAGTTTGATCGGCAAAATTGATTGAACCACCTTGAGCATTGAAGATAAGCTTGAGCATTCTATCAAGTTCTGGACTGCCGTATCTTTTGACGTCAAGCTTTCCGCTCAATTGGTTAAATGTGATATCTAACATTTTAGGGATTGCTGATTTGATGGAAAGCTTGTTGAGATTGTTAGCAGATCCAACAATGATCTTGTTATTTGCAACTTGCAAGATACGATCAATTCCATCACTATCAATATAAGCGTTTGCTTTTGTGTATCCCTTTGCTGGAAGTGCTGCACTCCACATCATGTAGACTGAGATGTTATGTGTAAGCTTAGAAATTGTCTCGCCAACGCGAAGAAGAGCAGTTTTGAATCTAAAGTCTTTGAAATTGACGTCTCCGTTAAGGATTGTCTCTAAGGCAAACATTGATTTGGCGTTTGTTGCAATTTCGATGTTCTCAAGTGTCAACTTTGTTGTCCATTGTGGAATTGAGACATTGATTGAGAGGCCATTTGAATTACCAGCAATCTTAACAGGGCCAATCTTTGAGTTAATAGAAATGTGGTTCTTTGGTGAGTCAATAATAAGAATATCGGCTGATGTAACAGCCCAATTAGCAAGTGTAGTTGTAGTTTCAGAGTTGTAGAAATCCCTTTCACGAGGGCATTTACTTGAATCAGTAGCTAAACAATATGATTTTGCAAAGATTTCAATGTTGATAGAAAATGAGAGAATGCAAAGGAAAGATAACATAAAAAATGATAACAATTTAATATCTTATTATTCAAACATTTGAATTATTTTTGTCAAAATGGACTTGATGAATAAAAAAATATTTTGATATTGTTGGTTTGCATCAAAATTTATCTATTTAAGTTTCATGTAAATTATATAAAATTATTTCAGTGAGCATTGAACATGGCTATATCTCCAAAATATTATATCAAATATTAATATATTAAAATTGAATCAATAAGATCCCATTGAAAATTCAAAATATTTCAACTGATATCATATATACTATAAGCAAATCATTATTTTTCTAAAATCACTGATAGTAATTTTGAGATGATTGAATTTATAATTTTTACAGGTGTTAATATTTTACTCTTTTAATTCATCTTTATCTTTTTTAATATGCGAATAACATTCAATTATATAAATTATTGAGAGAATTGCAAACTCTTCTCAATTCATAATCAATCAATATCATTTTGTTATAGTTTATGCATCAAATTATTATCAATTTTTTTTGTCGCAAAACTCTTTTCTCTTAAACCATCTCGGCGTATCATATAGTATAGGGTTGTTAAAAATATCAAAAATTAGTGTTTTGAAGACACCATGGTGTCTTATAATTTTCCCTTCCTTATTGGCGTGTAGAAATAAATGCGCCAATAGATTGAAGAAGAAGAATTGTTTTTCTCTTAATGAACTTTAATCCTTTTGATATAAGAATATTAAAAACATTAATATAATTTCGATTTCGGAAATTAAATTTCCAAATTTTTTGTCGATTTCGGAAATAACAGGATCCCGCATCCAACACGCAACAACAAAGCACAAAACACACTTTTTGGTTCTTTCATTCTTTTAATCGTAATTTATGTAATACATGATTTGGATAAATTTTACAAAAATAGAACCTATATTATATTCTTTTCAAAGACTCTTGCAAATCATCAAAAATAATTGTATTTTAAAAAACGATCAAATTATCCTTTCATTATTTTAAACTTAAATTAGTTTTTATGATTGACTAAAGCAATCATATTTATTCATCATTAAATAAACAAAAAAATAATATTTGAGAGTTATTTCAAAAAAAAACACATTGAATTTATTAATTTGTCTCAATTTCAGTATTATAAATTTTTATAATTTCAATATTTTGAAATACACTTTTTAATATTTCAATATTTATGATATTTCAATGTATTAAGTCGTCTCAAATTGAGCTTCTCAAATATAAGTTGGCCTATTCAAATAATAAAATTAAATAATATTTAAAATAATAAATAAAAGTGATTTAGGTCATAGCAAAACGGCTGTTTTAGTCATTAATTCTTAAAAATAAAAAGGGTAAAAACTAAATAAAATGGGTAAAATTCAATAGTGTCTGTGCTATCGTTCAATTTGAAGGTGTCTTTTGAAACCGCAAGACACATTGAATTTTGGAATAGTGTATTATGGTTTGACAGACACCAATGAAAAAAATAAAATGATATTTATTTTAAATATATAAGATCCTTATATAAAATATAAATATTTTATCGTTTTATTTTCTTGTTTTAGAAATGTTTTTTATTGAAAAATCAATAAAACTAACTCCAAAATAAAATTTTTGATTTAAAGACACTATGATGACACCAGGCAAATCTTCCAAGACACCTATCGTCGGGAATCTAACAACCCTATATAGTATCTATCTCATCAAAACAACCATAATTTCGAAATTAATTTGATTTATCCATGATCTTTTTCCAATAATTTCATAATTTGCTTCTTAATTATATGGATAATCATATATTCTTCATCGGCACAATGCTGTAATATTTACAATTGAGCTTGTGTAGCTAGAAATTTGCAGAGATTAACTATTTATTGTTTGAATTTTCTTATATAGCTGAATGCCAAATGATTGAATGATAACAATTAGACAAAAAGCTAACACATAGTTGTGAGCAATGGTTGTTTTTTTTTTAAATTTATTTAAATAGATCTCATTAACCTGATAACCTTGTGTATCACTATTATATTCATAAAAATCAACTATTAAAACGCGCATTTAAGTAATTTAGGTAACATGTCTGATTTAGACTGATAAGAGCAACATTTCTTAAAAAATCATAAAAAAATATCCAACAAAAACAAATATTATTAAAAAATACATAAGTTAAACACCATCCTCAGCAACAAAATAATGATTGCTAATATAGGTGAGAAGAACAGTACTCCACAAAAAAATTTAGAAAAATATTCGACATTAACATTTATTTTTAACAAATATACATACAACATGTCATTTCCCTACAATAACATGATGGATGCTATTATGAGTTATAATAATTGCAATTTTTTTATAAAAAAATTAGAAAAAATTATTCAACACAAACATTTATTTTTAACAAACATACAAACAAATAGTCGTTTTTCGAAGATATTTTGAAAATTATAGGATCCGTTTGAAATTAAAAAATTATTAAACAGATTCTTTCTTTTCAGCGTCATTAGACTGTTCATTATTATTACAGTCCATTCTTGTAAGAGAGTACACTACTCCGCCAACTATAAGAAGCGAGGCTCCAACGATTTGTTGAGTTGTCCAACGAGTTTCACTATAAAGGAAATGGGAGATTGCGAGGGTTGGCAAGAACTTCATTTGAGCAACAATTGTCAAAGTGACCAAAGCTGTCCATTTATGAAGAACGTTGTTCAAAATTTGATAAACTCCGGAAAGAAGGACTCCGATGATTGTCCATATGATGAATTCCTTATCTGTAACAAGAAGAAAATTACTAACGGTGTTTGGCTCGATAACAACGCTTGCAAAGAGAACTGGGAAGCATCCAAGAACATATCTCCAAAATAGAAGAGTCATCTGATCAGTTTTGTAACCAAGTTCGTCTATTGTCTTCATAGTAAGCTTCAGCATAACCGAAGTAAACGAAGAAGTAAAAACTGCGATGATTTGTACGATTAATTGATTTATTGATGGCATTTTAGCTGTAGACCATTGGAAATTCGATGTAAGACAAACTAGACCTGCTAATACTAATATAATACATAATGTACTCGCAAATGATAAACTTTCTCCCAAAAAAATCAAACCGCAAAGGCTACTAGAGATAATAACAGAGAGTCTGAATAGTACTGCAAAATCTAAATCTGAAACGTAGAACCCATAGTTGCCACTTAACATGTAGCCACCGTATAAAATAGCGGAAAGAACAAGTCTCGGCATTGCTTTGTACGGAGGTATTATCCATTTGAGGGAAAAGTCGAAATTATTTGATGCAAGTGCCATTAGGAATGAAGGTATTATTGACATAGCCATTTGAATAAAAGTTGAATAGAGAGGATAGGGGTGTAGAATGAAAATTTCTTTATTGTAGATTGGTAATAACGATGCTAATGTAAAATGAAAGCATACTAAAACTGTGTGAATGCAAATTTTCCAAAACCCCATTTGAAAAGAAGGGGGAGTAACCTAATCATTTTATTTTAGGCAATAAGTTAGAATTTAGAATCTACATCCATTGTCAATTCTTTTCTTTACAAAATCTCACATTTCGCAAAAAAATTGTTCGAATCTTGAATTTTATTATATGAATTCATCAATGCAATAGATATCAAATTTGATGATTCTCTCATATTTTGAGAACTTAAAATACGTTTTATCATTACTTTTATTAAAATTCAATCATAATTATTCAAATTAATGTGATGCTCTGGTCCATTGCTATTGAATTTACTAATCATACCTTATGGGAAAGATTTGAACAATAAATAATAAAATCATAAAAAAATTCATAAAATTTACTTAGAAACATCAGAAATATTAAGTGCAATAGAACCTTCAAAGTCGTTCTTTGCAGGTAAACTAACAAAATATGTCAACTGGTTGCCTTTACCTTTAAGATAAATTTCACCTCTTTCTTCGATTTCAAATTCTAAGTTCTCAATCATACCTTTCGTTGCTTGAGAAATCTGGACATTTCCAGGGATATCTGTTGATTGCAAACGTGCAGCAACATTGATAGGATCTCCAATAATATCGAATGTTGGCTTATCTGTACCTAAAACACCGCCAATTAATGGACCACCACTATTAACTCCAATTCTAACTTCTAGTGATGCGTTCAATTTCATATTAATTTCATCAAGAGATTTGGAAATCTCAATGCAGCATCTGACTGAATCTTCTGCGTGTTTGACACTTTCATCATTTGGATCTTGGAATAAACCAGCTGCTGCCATGTATACATCACCAATTAATTTGATTTTAGTGATGCTTTCGTATTGACTAACAATTCTATCAAATGTAGCAAAAACTAAACTCAAGTTTGCCATGATTTCTGTTGGAGTTAAAGAAGATGCATAGGCAGAGAACTTAACAATATCAACAAAGAATATTGTTGCGCTTGGAATATTGAATGAAATATCTGTTTCTCCTCTGTTCAATCTGATAACGATATCCTTTGGTAATATTTGATATAATAACTTCTCTGATTTGGCCTTTGCTTCTTCAGCAGCTTCTCTCTTTTTAATTTCTTCGGTTTCGTTTGCCAAAATGAAAACAATTGAAGTTATCTCGTCTGAATCTTCTCTATCTTTCATTCCAATCATTGTGACAGTGAATGGAACAGAGTTTGAATTTTCATCTGTTAAATCTAAATGATCTTCCCAGAATGATGAACCTTGGCCACTCATCATCAAATTTATTTGGGTTTCTAACTTTTCTTTGTCATTGTCAGAAACAATACTCAAAATTGTTTGTCCAAGCATTTGATCAGGAGTTAATTCAAGATTGTCTGTAACTGCTTGATTGACAATTTCAATAATGGAATTTGCGTTTGTTACAATGATGCATTCGCTTGATTCCAAAACAATTGATTTGGAAAGTGACATCTTTTCTGTTTCTTTCTTCTTTGTTCTTCTGAAGAAATTCATTATTTCTTCTGATTCAACAATCTTTTGGGGAGAAATATGCTGGAACATCATCAATAATAACTTATAGTTTTCATTGACAAACATTCTAAATATCCATGGTAAACCAAACATAATAATTGCTAAAATCAAGCCAACAATGAAAGGAATGCTGATAATCTTCATTTCTTTATCAAATGTTTGCTCCATTAAATTTCTCATTCTTGTTGTTCCTGTAATAACTTTTCCGTAGAAATGTTCTTGTAAAATGTGGATGATGTTTGCTGAAACTTCGTCTTTGATGATACCTTTGTATTTTTCATGATTGTTTAATACATCTTCGACCATGTTCTTAAATATGTTAATTATGGCGCTGATACTTGAGCATGCATACATATCATGAACAGAAACAGGATCTCTTCCTAATTGGCAAGAGCTCTTTAATTCAACATTATCTAATTCTTCATCAAATCCCAAAATAGATTTGGCATATGCTGTTCCATCGACTAATTTCTTTTCATATTGCAATAAATATTCGAGATCTTTAACAGCTTTGTCTCGAATTTCTTCTAAAGTGATGACCTTTGAAACAACATCATTTCCTGATAATAAAACAATATGGACAACATTGTTTCCAGTCTCTGTTGCAGCCAAAACTCTAACGCAGGAATAATAGAACCAATACATCATTGTTTTCATGTCTTTGTTCAATTGGACTGCTTGATATGTCATAAAGAAGTATAAAAGTAATGAAACGAAAACCAAAAAGAAATAAAACATTGCAGTATAATTCATAACCTTTGAAGTTTTTTCTTTGGCTTGAACTTGTGTACTTTCATTTTCATAATCAAGCATTAAAGGTTTCTTGCAATCATCTTTGACATTGTTTGGTAATTGCAACAAAACTTTTAATATTTTGTCAACCATATCATTATATGTTTTGACGCAATACAAAGCTGGAACACATAAGAAGAACAATAAACAAATTAATCCAGCAATCATCCATGTATAGAAAATTTTATTGTAACTCTCTCCCCTGTTTTGATTGAAGTTAACAATTCCTCTTAAAGCTTGATCAGCATTGTCAGACAATGTAAATGAGTTTGCCATTACTTGACAATAATCATTATCTACATAAATATGAGGAATATCAACATTAGTATTAAATTTTCCACTTAGTTGATTCTGATGGAAATTAATTAGTGTGATTTGGGCCTTTAAACTTGCAGGAACTTTATATAATGGAACACCACCATCACAAACAGTAATTGTAGAAGTAGTTTTGATTAAGTTTTCTCCTACTTTGTATACATTATTTGTCAATGCAATTTTTGACATATCATTTAATAATATTCCCAAATTTGTTTTTGAAAAGTTTGTAGCATATTGTAATTTATATGCATTTGATGTATATTTATCTGGTATGACAGGGTTTGCATACTTTTTATCAATTGTGATATCTCCAAGATATTTTCCTGAATCATCATACTTATTGTGTCTTCTTGCCCATTCTAAGACTGATATGGCATTCGTGTAGTAATTAAAGAACAAAACATAGCTTAATGTTCTGATATCATTATAAGAAGTCTTTCTCCAAGAAATGGCATCATTGACATAAAGGTAGAATCCCAAAAAGAAAACAAACATTGTAATAAGAACAATGAATGCAGAAATGGCAATTAATTTTGATTGTCTTGGTTTCATATCAACAATTGAATGGTGGAAAGCCAAGCGTACCTTTGAATCTCTTAATATTCGTTTTGAAATGAGTTCTTGATGTTCAATATCAACACTCAATGAGTTGAAGGTGTTCTTGGAGTTTCCTGTTCCTGATGAACTTGAATTTGTTTCACTTTGATTTACTGATCCAGAGCTTGGATGCTTCTTGATAACTCTCTTTCCTTTTGTATCCAGAATTCCAACCTTCAAGTACTTTGGGAATTTGTTTACAGCACTCTTGAATGAAATATCAACATTGAAATTAGTTCCATTGCTGATGTATTCAGCTTTGACTGACTGAACAATTGCTCGGTCGAAATCACATAAACATTCACAAAGGAAGTTTGCGTATTCATTAGCAATTCTGATGTTATTTGGATTATTAGATATTGCCCATCTGAAATAGGCATCTAAATCACTGACAACCATACTCAAGGAGCTGAAGAATTCATTTGTGCAAATTGGTTTATCCCAAAATCCTCTGATGATCGCTTTGCATTCGTCATTCTTCTGCTTGAGTTTATTGAACATCTCCAAAGTATCTTTTGTATCTGAGACTAATCTTCTTGTCTTGATTCCATAGACTTGATACAATAAAAATCTGTCAGGCAAACCCAACTTTTTCTTCTTTTGAGCAAGTTTTTTGAAAAGAATATCCATTTTTCTGGATTCTGATGGAAAGAATGTAACAACCTGCAAAAGAATAGATAGAGCTTCTTCAACCTGGCCATTATTGATGATATAATCTGTTAATGAGCCATCAACAAAGTAATTACCTAATCTTGCTAAGCCAACAACGATATACATCATTGCTCTGAGAGGGTTTCGGTCGATATTTAGTGTCCGAAGATATTCTTGTGCTGTTAGTTCTGTTTCTTGATATGCTAACTGCTCAGTAATTTTGTTGACACGAGATTTGTAAAAGATTGTTGTAATTATGATGGAAATAATGAGTACACCAATGAAAACGGCTAAAGTATAGTTGTACGTCAAAGATGGAATGCAATAGAGGACAAAGAAATTCAGATCCAACGCAATTGTTGTAATTCCAAAGGACAAACAAACCGAGTTACGCCAAACTTCATAGAATGGAACAAATGTTAATCGATAGCAAACATAAAGAGTCATCATTAAATGAACAACTCCAAGAACTACATAAAACCAAGTATCAAATAGTTTCATTATAGCTGATATTATGCAGCAAAATGATGTTCCAATAACCCATGTGTAAATTGATGTTGAGTCGAATAATGGAAATGTCAAGTTTGTTAAGACGACAGATCTTGATTTTAATAAAGTGCCAAGTAAGAAGACAATAACATAGAATCCGTATGTAATGGCTCCAATAATGATCTCGTCGATAAATGAGGTGTTTGATGTATATATTATTCCTGTGATTCCATGGCAAATTACATAAACTGCAGGGGTAATGCATATTGGATCGATCACATCGAGTATTATTGTGGATATATAAAGGCAAATGGTTGGAATAGTATATAAATACTTGTAATATACTATCATTCCAACAATCCATAAGATTGATACCAAAGCAATTACAAGAGTTATGATCATTTCGACTTCATGATGGTTAGAATAGTCATTGGGATCTTGAAATGTAAAGATTTTGATAATGGTATGATATATATTTTTTGGTTTTCCACTCAATCTTTCAAAAGGTGGAGCGTAAATCCAAAATCCAATGGATAAGACTTGGATAAGCATTATAATAGCTGCCATTGACAAGAACCAAGCTGGCAATTTCGTTTTCTGCATCATCTGATCATAAAGTGGAAAGATCATGTCGAGAAAGCCACCTTTCGCTTGAGTTATATCGCCAACATTAACCGTACTCATGCTCATGCTTGAGACTGATTTCGAAACGGAAGCTTCTGCGAGATTCATTCGTTATCTAAACAATAATCAATTCAATTTCAATTTGAATAAAACAAATGCAACATATTATTTTTTCAAGAGATTCTTATTTTGTATGTTATTGTAGGTATATTTAATAGAATCAAAAAATATGAAATGTATTCAAAATTTGAAAAGTGATTTCAATTGTTTGAAAAATATTCTAAAAGTGACGAGAATTTTTATGAATGAGTTCAGCTATTTTAAGGGTGCACCCGTATGTACGTTTATTTGAGAGGAGGAGGATTACCCTCTCAATTTTGAGGGATTCGTTAGTTTATTTTCTCGATGAATATGCAATAAAATTTGATTTTTACCTTATCAATATACTTCATATAATATACACATGTTCATGTAAAAACTTTTTTCCAAAATCCTCAGAAATTAAGGGATTTTTGAATTTTAAGAATTTTTTTCGAATTTTTTCGAAAAAAATATTTTCAGAACAGCCTTAACGGCTAAGATTGTTATAGACCGAAAATAGATTTTTTTGGTTTTCTCTTCAAATAATTGAAAGAATGATTCTATTATAGGTTTATTATATTATATAGCATATAATCATGCTATAGCCGAAAATTATAAGTTTTGAGAAGATTGAATAGAACACAAATAAATTTGAATGTAAGTTAAATTGCTTGTTGTTTTTAATAGCTATTTAATGAGAAATCCAATATTGCAAAATTCAAATTGAATGATTGAAAGAACAGAAAAAGTCATTCTTTTCAATTTCGAATATGTTTCATTGTATTTATAATTATATGGCAAATAAGATATTTAAACTTGATTTTTGAAGGAAAATTCACAAAATTGAATAAATTCAAATAATTTTTATTCAAAAATAAACTAGTTATTTGAGTTTAATACTAATTATCTATTCAAACTACAAAGTTTGTAATTTAAAATATTTTGTGAGATCAGATTGAATTAATTCAAGGTTCTTTTCAATTAATATTAATGACCATATTACGCATTTTCGAACATTCTAAACCAAATATATAAAAATCGGAGACGAATTTTAAATTTGCTAGACATGGGGGAGTTGTCTGCAAAGTTTTAGCTCTTATCTCTAACAAAAAATTAATTTTTAAAAAAATGGCCGAATACGTTTCACAGCGAGAAAAAAATAAAAGGCAAGATAGAATTTTCTAGACATAAAGAAGTTGTTTACCGAGTTTTAGCTCTTATCTCTAACAAAAAATTAATTTTTAAAAAAATGACCGAATACGTTTCACAGCGAGAAAAAAATAAAACTTTACACTGATTTTAATTTTCATTTCCAGTCACTTTACTTATTATTTTTTCTTTTTTTCATTTTAATTATAAATTATTTCATAATACATTTATTTACGTTACCATTTTCTTTATTCTTTTGAATTCCATACTAGACACTTATAGAATATTTTGATTGTTAACGTACTTCATTAGAATGAATCCTTACAAAGGGTATGTCGATCGAATTTACCTAATTGGTATTTCCAATCAGATTGAAGAAGGTAAAATGACATGGGAAGAAGCTTGCACCCATGTTCCCATCGCCCCAACCCTTCAATCAAATGATTTCAAATATTTAGATGTTTCAAAATCTTTTTTACAAAATCAATTTAGCTTACAGAATATCCCATTGCCTAAAGGCAAGAAAGGTCGTAGGGTCAATCCCTACGACCAAATCAAAGCTCTTGCTGTGATACATGACCACTGGGCCTTTCCCTGTGGTCAAACAAAACAATGGAAACGTTTGAAATTACAACAAATTGATGTATCTTATAGAGAAGTACGCAGATACTTCAAAGAAAATCATTTCACCAAGACGCGATTAGAGCATGCCGGGCCAGAAACAGCAGTAAGATATTGGGCGCTTTCACCCAATCTTATCTGGCACGCAGATGTTCATTATTTTAGGGGTGGTCGTGGCCAGTATATTTATGGCATAATCGACGATTTTAGCCGCAAAGTCCTAGCGTGTATACAAATACCAGATATGCTGGCAGCGACGACAGCGAACGTTGCGGCTTCCGCCTTCATTGAATTTGGCGCCCCTTATTGTTTCTGGACCGACAACGGTTCAGAAAATAGGGGCGCCTTTCAAGATCTACTTGATCTTTGGGGTGTCCAATGGCGGCATACAGACTCTCATTCTCCCTACCAAAATGGGAAGATTGAGAGATTCTGGCCGACATTGGAGCGCTGCCAAAGCATTCGGGCTATTCCTTCCTTTATTTGGGAGTACAATAATAACACACCGCATGAAGATCTCCCAATTAATCCATTAACTGGAACAAATTACACGCCAAATCAAATGTATCAGCTGAAACCGAAATACACAAATGCAGATACAGAAAGGTTGTGGCAAATATGGGATACAGATACAGGCATGACCGCTGTTGACACATTCACAGCGTAATAATAAACATAATTTTTTAATTTCATTTTTAACAAGTTTTTTTAAATGTATGTAATGAATAATTCATTAGAATATGATAATGCACATTGTAACAGAATAGAACAATCACCAAATTTTTTTTTTGAAATTAAAAAATAAAAGTAAAAAGTATAAAGTAATCTAACCAAAAAAGATATTTAAAAGAATTTTGGAAAAAACAGAATAAGGATAATGATATTATTTTAGATACACAATCGATGTACTGAAGAATAATCCGGTAAAATGATGATATAAAATTAGATTATTTTAAAAGTAGCTAAAAGAATAAAACTATAATATAAAATAAATGAAGTTTAATGAAACAATAAAGGTTAAATAAATAATAAAGATTTTTATTTTATATCAGTATTGAGAAGAAGTAACAGGTGACACTTGGTAGACAACTTCTTTATGTCTAGAAAATTCTATCTTGCCTTTTATTTTTTTCTCGCTGTGAAACGTATTCGGCCATTTTTTTAAAAATTAATTTTTTGTTAGAGATAAGAGCTAAAACTTTGCAGACAACTCCCCCATGTCTAGCAAATTTAAAATTCGTCTCCGATTTTTATATATTTGGTTTAGAATGTTCGAAAATGCGTAATATGGTCATTAATATTAATTGAAAAGAACCTTGAATTAATTCAATCTGATCTCACAAAATATTTTAAATTACAAACTTTGTAGTTTGAATAGATAATTAGTATTAAACTCAAATAACTAGTTTATTTTTGAATAAAAATTATTTGAATGTATTCAATTTTGTGAATTTTCCTTCAAAAATCAAGTTTAAATATCTTATTTGCCATATAATTATAAATACAATGAAACATATTCGAAATTGAAAAGAATGACTTTTTCTGTTCTTTCAATCATTCAATTTGAATTTTGCAATATTGGATTTCTCATTAAATAGCTATTAAAAACAACAAGCAATTTAACTTACATTCAAATTTATTTGTGTTCTATTCAATCTTCTCAAAACTTATAATTTTCGGCTATAGCATGATTATATGCTATATAATATAATAAACCTATAATAGAATCATTCTTTCAATTATTTGAAGAGAAAACCAAAAAACATTAACGGCTAAGATTTAGGAACAATGTTAAGTATCAAAAAGAAAGGAGGTCTGATATAGACAACATATATCGTTGAAGGTTGAAAAAATCTCTAATATTTGAGCCCAAAATTTCAAATTTTAATTTTTTGAAAAAAGAGGCCACCCGTATGTACGTTTATTTGAGAGGAGGAGGATTATATTTTTGAAAGGGCGAAACATTATGAATATGTTAATTATATAATAATATGTATTATTATAAAAAAGAAAAAATAAAGCACGTTAAAATTTTTCTTTCTTGATTTTTTACAAAATCTACTTAGAATTATGCAAAATATGACTAAATAATTATAAATTTCAAGTTAAATTTTAATTTTGATAAATAATTTAAATTTCAAAATATCAAGTTCAGTTCGACTATGTATGTAGTAATTCCTCAATAAAGTGCCAAAACCCTATTAAAATATATGAACATTTTCAACATTTTAATGTTTTTATTTAAAAATTTGATGGAATATGAGCTTCAAACAATTATTATGTAAATAAAAATAATTAAATATATGTATTTATTCGTATTACAACCGTAGTAAGTCGATTCTTCCTTTCTTCTACTGAGGTTTGAATTTGATTTCGAATTGTAAAGAGATTCAAAGGGGAAATACTAGCGGATAAAAACTACCTCCATGAAAGGGTCATAATGGAGTCAAGTTGTATTTTTTGATATTTTTTGCTTTTCGAGCCTAAATAGGTAGCCAAGATAATGCCTAAAAATAAGGTTCTAAATTCTGAAGTTTACATGATCCTCTCGTGTGCACCCTTAACCAAATTTTAATGTTGATTATCAGTCAGAAATATAATACTAATTTTGTTTTTGTCAATGTTTTAACTTCTCAAAAATTCATTCAAAAAATAATTATGCAATTATTGCTGAAATCTTTAGAGAATAAGTCATCAAATAAGAAAACATGTGAATAGTGCCAAGGTCTATTTGTCCAACGTAAGCGCAAAATTGAATATAAGAAATTTTTGATTATGAAAATTTATTATCTAAAACACACTGCACGAATGCTCTTTAACAATTTTAATAAATGCTCGTTATTTAAAATTGATTATTTATTGAATACTGTTTTTTATGAAATTTTTGAACGCTTCACTCTCAATCCGAATATTCCACACTCGAAAAAAGATATTTGCTTGACCACATATTGGTGTCAATATTAAACCGGCAATTAATTAATTTAGCAGTATTCAATTATCGTTTTGTGATGAGTAAGATATGAATTCATGACCTTGGAGAGGAGTTGTTGACATTGCCAAAAATAATTATTGGAAATTCAATAACGTTCTTTTCAAAACTTGTAAAAATACATTCATTTTGTAAAAATTTATAATTTTGCAAATAAGCAGCATAATAGGTACAGATGGATTTCAATTACATTCATATGCCCATTGACGACCTCGAATTTTTCGATTTTTCTTAAAATTCTCAGAATCTGATAAAATTGATGAAAAACTCGTCATATCTTCTCATTACTATCATCCTATTTCTGTAGAATCTGAAATATATTTTCATCAATATCGATGATAAGCTCTTAAATCGGAACGTTCTTTTATCACGAAGGAGTTCAAGATATTCTTCCATATTCCTATAAGTTTCCCATTGCATACTATATATTTATTAGTACATTGATAAATGATCAATGTCTAATAATTTTCTCAAAAATGTATGTTCGATTTACATAATTGTATCAAATTCCATATATAATTAATGAATTTTATATACAAATTGGAATTTTTTGTCATTTTATGGTTATTGAACTCATTGTTATTATATATCGTTATTATTTTCCTTTTTGATGGCACTTCTAATTTATATAATTATATGCGGTCAAAACAGGTATCATAAAAATGGCATAATTGGGCATCTTTATGTATTAATTACCACAACAATTCCAAATCGCCTTGACAAATTTTTCGAAAAACATCTTCCAAGCTGGTTACTTAATTTGTCTCCAAATTTTGCAAATAATATATTCAAATACATGACCATGCTCTTTTATTCATGCATTTATGGATTTTTTGCGTTGACTTTTTTAATAAAATCATATGGATCATTCCAAAACATATTTATACATCCGTATCTAAACATGTTTATTAGCATTACAATACTTCCTTGGCCTTGGATAATATTGATTCTTTTAAATAATATGAATCCAGGAATAATTACCAAAGAGAATTACAAAGATTACCTAAAAATATATCCTTATGATTCAGTATTATATAAAGAACGAGTTTCAGATACAGAAGGATTTCCAATAGTTCCTAGATCTCATTATTGCTCATTTTGGAATTGTCGAGTTGCCAAATATGACCATTATTGTGCTTGGGTGGCCGCACCTATAGGGGCTAGAAATCATAAATATTTTCTTGCATTTCTATTGACAAACATCAATTCATCTATATACTACATATATGGAACATTTAATCTTTTACGTTATAGAATGAAATTACACAAAATTTACTTAACATCTTTATTGAGTATATATAAGAGTATATTCTGGGTTTTATTCTGGGAACCATTAATATTGGCGTCACTTGCTTCATTAATAATAACATTCATTGCTTTAACATTGTTTGTAATTCAACAATCAGTTGGCATTTCAAGAAATATTACCCTTGTCGAAGGTGAAAAGATATCGGATTTAAATAAAATTAGAAAAAGAGAAGGATTACCGGCTTATATTCATGTATATAATAAAGGATTTTTAGCAAACTGGAAAGAGTTTTTCTCTGGAGTTTAACTCATAAATATGCTATGCTCATTGTTTGTAAATGTTATATTTATTATAGTTTATATATTAAATTCTGTTTATCTCTATCAATATTTTTATTGAACCGCATAAATTGAAAACAATCATAATCATTATACTCTGATGGAGAATCGCATTATATATCTTAAGCCTGCTCGAATATCTCGATTGGAATATCCAAATTTTCGAAATCATTAAACCATGATTCAATAGATGGCAATATATCATTCTTATCATCCTTTTCGATTGGTTTGGGTGCTTCCTTCTCGGATTCAGAACTTGATGAATCATTTGATATTATTAATGATTTTTTTAATATACACCATCTATTCTTTAATGCGGCATCGGTTCTCCTATCAAAGAGCTTCGAGATTTTGACCCATTTAGGACCAAGTTGACATAATTTTTCTTTTAATAATTCATCTTCTTCTGGAGTCCAAGGATTTCGATTGATATCAGGTGAGAGGTACTTGGTGTATCTCTCTTTACATTGTCGTGCATTTCTATTTTTCATCATCTTCGCAATAAATTCCCAATTTTTATCTCCGTATCTCATTACAAGGGTTAGTAATTGGCTGTCTTCTTTTGGACTAAATTGGGCTTTGGGGTGCGGCTTTCCGATAGAACATAGTGACCGTAATGACATGCCTTGCCTGAACGTTCTGATTATAAACTGAATTGAGTATTTTCTTTTTAAACAGTTATCAATTTTTTACCCAAACTTTTCTGATGGAAATTCAAATTTGTGATTCAATGACCATTATCAAACCGTCAATTGTATGGGATTTTTATTATATAACCGATATTTTGTCTCAATTTGGTGAACTTTTAGGTCTATCTAATTATACAGGTGAAGCGAAAATTCCAGGAAAAAAATAATAGCATTAGCCAATGCTTCAAGATTATAACAACTGAAAAATGTTTTTTTGAGAGAGCTTTGAATCTTCCTTATTTTGAAGCAATTGGATTATTTGAACCTTTTGCAAATTTTTAATTTATTAGCGCTTGTATGCCAGCATAGCTGACAGTAAATTTCATCTATCGGAATGCAAAAATTGAATCTTTCAAAACGATGAAATATGATTTTACTCTGAATCTATTAAATCAGCTATAGAATTTATCATGATGCAATAGGATACCTCTAGACATAATTATGGTAGCGATAAATTGAATTAAATAAGTTTTTTAAAATTATTTTAATAAAATGTCAACTTAATAACAAATAACTTGAAACATTTCGGACCAAATACATGCCTTTAATCATGATGCAGAGCTCCAATTCTCCCGTTTTATGTCAAAAACACTAATTATCCGTTTCTCCATCATTAAGGGTATAGTCCACTAAAAATTTTTAAGTTTTGACAATGAAAATAAGCTCTGTGACCATGTAAATATATATCTATGCAAAACGAGAGGTTATGCCATAATTTTTTTTAGTTATCAAATTTTCCTTTTTTTGAGAGAAGTCTCTCAATAATTTGAGAAGAATCTTTGATATAAAGAGATACACATTTGTAGAACGAAGTAAGTGTTTTCCAAACATTTTATATGTTCATCCTGTATAACAATATAAAGCTGCATAGTGCCATCTTGTGCGTTTGCTATTTTATGTACTTTTCATTGAGATAATCCCTCTTCTCGGGTGATTTTAACAGTCAACTCAATTTTAAAATAAAGATTTCATCAAAATGATTTCGAAATTCGGATATTGATTATATAAATAGCACTGTTAACATATTTTGGATGAGTAAAAAATACCTTGTTTTGTATGCATTTAGTACACCTTTATTTTTGATTAAAACTATAAAATTTTTATTCCTTATATAATAAATAGTATATGTTACATAAACATGAAATTCAATAGCATTCAATTTTGGATTTTTTAGATTTGGTAAATTTTAGAAGAAATAAAATCAGCAATCAAAATAAAGAAACTTTTTTTGTATCTTCTATGATTACCTTTTGGTACTAAATTTTGCATTAATAAGTAAATTATCTGTATTATTCTGTGAGCACAAGCCCTCAGTTATGCTGGTAGTGAATGATGAATCGTCATTTTGCGAAGAGAACGCGATTATTAAGGTAATTTTGAGAATTGTCTTGAATTATTTAAAATTAAAGTTAATTGAATAGGTAGGATAACTAGCCTTTGCTAAATTTGTATAATTTGACCTTATTCTAGTTGGATCTGAGAATATTTTGCTGAAATAATAAATTATATCGCCGATTTATGAAAATTTCTCTGATGGGACCGACTCGCTGAAACGTATTAGTGTTAATGGTAACTTGTCTGAATTTTCAAATTTTTTTCGAAATCCAAAAAATCACAAACAAAAGCATCAAAATTAGATTTGCATTTAAGGTTTTCATTTTTTTTGGAAAATAAAAATATTTTTTCCCCAATAAAGTTTATTTTTACTTTTGAGAGGAATAGAAACGTTATTTTGGAATTTTGAAACGACAGAAATGTTCCATTTTTAATGTAGATTCTAAAATGGGGTCAAATTTTTGATTGAACCGTTATCCATTGAAAAACCTCGATTTTAAAATGTTATTCCAAAATATTCATCTAATGATATAGTATATATTTATTAATTATTACTTTTTATTCAATTTTCACTTTTGGCGGGATTTCATTTTTTTGTTGTTGTATGGGCCATATTGTTCACCCAAAACGGAAAACAAAGGCAATGCATAACATTTTACTCCACGAACGTCGTCGACTCTCAGCGCGACAGATGCTTGGTGCTTGCATAATGACCGGAATGCCATATACAAAAGGTGCTCGCTTTCTTTCTCTTTGTGGAACTAAGCCCCCTGTGAAGAGTGGTGTCATGAGACAACAGAGATTTTGTGACGATAAGATTAGAAGACTTAAAAGTATTTCCCTAATGCTGTCGAGAAAGTCCTTCAGTGGTTACTTATCCATTGATGCAAGATGGACGCACAGGCGAAACTCGCCAAGTTGTACAGTAACTGCGCTCGATGCTGTCACAAAAAGAGTTCTTGCATGCGTGAACATCAACCATATTGGTGGAAACAGACAGCATGCTCAGTATTCCGGAGCTTCCAACAATATGGAAAGTGCTGGAACTCGAATCATCTTGAAGCAATTAAAGAAATACAATATCTTGAAAGATGTTAAAGAGATTATTAAAGACCGAGATAACAAAAGTGTCTCTGTCTTTAAAGAATTTGGCGTCTCTCATCTTGAAAGATTCGATCCAGGTCATGTATCAAAAAATATCTCAAAAGATTTTACAAAGTTCTCAGCTTCTCATAAGACAGTTGAAGTTTTCAACGACAAGACTCAGAAGATTGAAAAAATAGAGAGACCTTTCTGGGGTCTGAATGCAAGCCTAAGTATGTGGCTTTGGTCATGTTTTGCCGAAGAAAATATTGACAAACGTACGAAAATGTGGGAGAATTGTGTCTACCATTACGTAGGCAATCATTCTTTTTGCGAACCGCACAATTACAAATGCTTTGAATGGCAAAAAGGTGTCAATTCGATCCAACTTCAATTCATGCTCTATGACTGGGTTCACAAATGGACACCCATAGTTTCCAAAGTTTCTTCCATTGGATCTACCTGCATGAATGAAGCGTTTAACTCCAAAATTGCATGCTATTTGGACAAATCAAGAGCCTGGAAGAACATTAACATTAGAGTTAACGTTGCAATCTTAGAATGGAATGATCCAGAGCATTTTCTCGGAGATATACAAAAAGCATTACATCTTCCCCCACTTCCAGAAGATTGTGTCAAATCATTTGAAGAGAATTGTTACTCCAAAATGATATTGAAACAAAAAACTGTTACAAAAGGTTCTAAAAAACAGAACAAATACAAAAAATCCATTCAGAGTGTACCAGGAGGAGATTATCAAGTTTTCAAGTCCGAATGGGAATCAGAAGACGAAGACATTGATGACTTTGATTAACGAAAATTACATTTTATTTATTGTTTTTGTTTTTAATTAAATTATTATTATGCTCATTTTCTTATTTTGATTTTTTCTCATTATGATATAAATAATTTATTAATGCATTTATCCAATAATTATGCTATGATATTTTTATGCCTTATTTCATTTCTCTTATATTTGATAATCTGGTAAAATATAGTTCAGACTATAATCATTTTAGATTATTGATATATTTATATAGGTTAGAATAAAATTAGTTTCATTTTCTACTTTTATTTTGAATTAATAATTTATAATATCAAATATTATGGCGTAACCTCTCCTTTAAAATATAGATATATATAGGCCTATAGAGTTTATTGGCACTCTCAAAACTCTAGAATTTTGAGTTTACTATACCCTTAATATTATATTTTATTTAATGATACAATAACAATGCATTATCAGCTCGAATTACCTACTTTATATCATGATTTCAAATTTGTCACATTTTTGACAATAATTTCAAATGGGAATTCAATTATCCCAGAAATGCTATGAAGAAGGAACTTTAATTGAATGCTATAACTACCCACTATTGTGGATAGCATTTTTGATTATTGCAATAATTACTTTATTCTATTATTATCGATTTATAACCGCGATTATTCAAATCAGAAAATTATCATTCAAAGAAACATGGCCATCAATTCTTTTTTGGTTTTCTGTTAGCAGTGCGCCGACAATTACACTTCTGCGCTATCTTTCATTTAATCTTTGGAATAGCAACTTTGAAATCTTTCTTTTTATGATCATGAGACCATCATCTATTGCATTACCATATGTAGCTATTTCAGCTGTTATATTAAAATTAGGAACACAGATTCACCTTTCAAAAACTGGAGATAGCCATTACAGGCGAAATACTACGATTCTTCTATTACAGTTTATCTTTGTCCTTCTCACAAATATAATTTATTTCTCTATCAGATTACAAAAGATAAGTTTTCGCTTTCTTAACATTACAAACCTCTTAACATACCTTCTGAACATATTTATATTTATCACAATTTCTCTTAGATTTATTACCCAAATTCAAGAAATTGCAATTTCTACTTTACCAACTAATTTCATATCTAATATCAATATCGGATTGAATATAATCATCATATTAAATATCCTACATTTAGGAATTCATACTTCTTTTAATGCTTGGACTGATTTATGCGGAATCCCATTCAAAAACCTCCGAGTTGTTCAATTCCATACATATGTAGGTCTTCAATTCATCCAAGATATTATCGCTACCATCATACCAGGCTTTGTATTGTCTCTTGGCATTGTTTATTTCAATAATCTTCCATCATCATACGGCTATCAGTCACCATGATTATATTGTTGTAAACAGAAATTCATCAAAAGTGACACCTCAGAAAAGCTAAAATATTGAATTTTTGGAACTTTTGATAGAGCACGTTTTTAAATATTAATTAAAGTAAATGTATATTTTGTAAAGATTCTTTTTAATAAAAAAATAAAATTTTGAAGAAGAACACAAAATCTTCTGAAAAATAATATCACATAAACTCATATTATTTTCTAATATATAACTATTTTATATAAAAATCAAATTCAATGATCTTAAAAGCGAAGGATAAACCTCAAAATTTACGAATATAATGAGTGGGAATATAATGCTTATCTATCATAAAACCATATGAAATATCAATTTTTGCTTTACGCCTAATTTTTGACGACAATTAGCAAAAAATGTTAAATGTTAACACTCAGTCCATTTGAATATGAAAATAAAATTGACTTTGATTAAATGTTTTTATTTATCATGCAATTCTTCTTGCGACCAAAGATTTGAATAAAAGTTCAAAAAATAAGATAGCTTAAAAAAATATACGGTAGTGTTTACTAATAGATGAATAGTATATAAATTCTATTAAAATGGATTTGATCCAAAAAAATATAAAACCAAAAATAATTGTTATAATTTAAATGAAGAAGTAATTTAAAACGATTTTATTTATGATCAAATTTTATATATTTTTTTGGATCAAATCCATTTTAATAGAATTTATATACTATTCATCTATTAGTAAACACTACCGTATATTATTTTTTAAGCTATCTTTTTTTTTGAACTTTTATTCAAATCTTTGGTCGCAAGAAGAATTGCATGATAAATAAAAACATTTAATCAAAGTCAATTTTATTTTTCATATTCAAATGGACTGAGTGTTAACATTTAACATTTTTTGCTAATTGTCGTCAAAAATTAGGCGTAAAGCAAAAATTGATATTTCATATGGTTTTATGATAGATAAGCAATTATATCCCACTCATTATATTCGTAAATTTTGAGGTTTATCCTTCGCTTTTAAGATCATTGAATTTGATTTTTATATAAAATAGTTATATATTAGAAAATAATATGAGTTTATGTGATATTATTTTTCAGAAGATTTCATTCTATATGCCTATGAAAAGTACTCTCAAAACTAACTTTTTCCTAATTATAATTAAATCTAGAATATTGTATTATGCTTAGTATTATTTCATTTTTCTCATTCAATTTAGAATTTACAAATGTCAAAAAATTGAGAGCTGTCACTTTTGATGAATTTCTGTTTATTACAATATATTGTAATTTTGTTGTTAAATTTTATGTCATTTTTTAATTTACATAAAATGTTTGTATTTAGGCTTTTAGCGTATTAAAATTTCATTTACTCTTTTGATGTAATCGTGAGTGCATAGTTCTGATCAGCTTTACAAAACAAATTTGATTGAAAATTTTTCCAAAAACCATGAATAATCATATTTTTTGAATAAATTGAAATGTATGGTCTTTGTATATGTATATTCCGGTAGTATCGAAAAATTGCATCATTTTGAATTCAATTTTTTGAAAGGAAAATTGAATAAGATAGCGGTTAGCGGGAGTAAACGGAATAATGTTGATAGCACAACTAGTGAAAGACTAGTGACATTGAATGTAATTAAGTTGCAATAGATGTACAGGCCTTATGAGGTCTCTATTCACAAGAGATCTTTGGAATTTAGGCTTGATATGATATCCTCTGATATCCCGTGTGCTTCTGTATAATGTCACTTTTTTACATAAAATGATGCGATTTCTTCCTTTTCCACTTGATCTACAAGTTTAGTTCCCGTATGGAATAGTATTAAACTCAACATCATTACATATAATATAGTTTGAATTTGGATATCTTAATCACATGGACTTATTAATGGAACTCCGTATAAAATTCAATGTGAAAATCATTATGGATTTTGAGCTTCTACCTCAAACGTTCCTCACTATGACCAAAAACACTGTCATTCTCTCAATACCTCCTAGTATGGCAGGAAAGAACAAGGACAAAGATGGAAATAAATCAAATAAGATGCCAAAATTACCAAATCCATACTTTATGTTCTGCAAAGAAAGGAGACAGATACTCCAAGCCGAAAACTCTCAAATATCCAGCCGCGAAATTACCAAGAAACTTGCTGAAGAATGGAAGAATTTACCTGAAATCGAGAAATCCCGCTATAATGAGAGATATAGAGAAGAATTGGCTAAGTTTTATAAAGAAAAAGAGAAATTAGAGCATCCTCAGCCAATGCAGAATACTCTCTTTCTCAAATTATTATCTGTTGATGGAAGGATAATCAATATCCCAGCGCAACTGTCTGCTGGTCCCTTTATGCAATTCTAGAGTAAATATATGTATGATTATTGCCCAGTTTATAACACTTTTATCAAATTTTTATATATCAAACATAAAATTCTCAGTTAGACTGCAATATCTAGTTTCATTTGTAATACATACCAAATAATAGTTGATGTTCTCTCTGAATTTCGGATTAATTATGAAAATATTTCATAAATCCAATTGATATTTACTGCTTTATATGAGTTTCAACCTAAAAACGAACGATATTTTTATTTAATATCATAGTGGTATACATAAATAATTCATTTGTTCAAATAATAAGTTTTAATTTTTTAAATTTTTTTTACCAGTAAGAACAAGTAAATTCAAATAAGTTATATGAGATTATCCCTTAATGACACCCATTGGAACAAGTCTAGCGACCTTCTTTGAGATTCCTACGACCTGGCAAGCGTCAACAACTTGTTTGATGTCTTTGTAAGCATCAGGAGCTTCATCCATGATACTTTCTTTATCAGCAGCTCTCAAGTAAACGCCATGGTCCTTCAATTGCTTGCTGACGTAAGCCTGAGTGATTGTTCTCATGGCTTTAGAGCGAGAAAGCTGTCTGCCTGCTCCGTGACATGTAGAACCCCATGCGTGCATCATGGATTCATCAGTTCCGATAAGTACATATGAAGCTGTGCCCATTGAACCGCCAATAAGAATTGGCTGACCAACATCTCTGTATCTGTCAGGGATTTCGGATCTTCCTGGTCCGAAAGCTCTTGTAGCTCCTTTTCTGTGTACGACAAATGTCTTTTCGACGCCGTCAATGACGTGTTTTTCAACTTTCGCGATATTATGAGCGACATCGTAGACTAAATGAGTTTCGTAGAGTTTATCCCTGAAGACATCCCTGAAAGCGCGTCTTACATCGTTCATAATGATCTGGCGGTTGCACCATGCGAAATTAGCAGCGGCGTACATGCAGGCAAGGTACTTTTGACCTACATCACTTGTATACGGTGGTGCGGCGAGTTGTTTGTCAGGTAATGTTGATGGACAATATGATTGCGAACAAAGATTAATCATTTCATCGGCAATTTGGTGACCTAATCCACGGCTTCCTGTATGAATCATGACACATACTTGGCCCTCGAATAATCCCATGGCTTTGGCAGCCTTTTCATCGAGGATTTTGTCAACACGTTGTAATTCAACGTAATGATTGCCACAACCGACAGTTCCGAGCTGGAAAACGCCACGAGAGATGACACGCTCTGAGAGGAGATCAGGTCTTGCTCCTTCAAGACATCCGTTCTCTTCGCAATTTTCGATATCTTCTGGAATGGCGTATCCGTGCTCTAGAGCCCATTTGGCACCTTTAACAAGAACTTCCATCAATCCAGCGCGGTTACAGATATCTGGGCGCTTGCCACCAATGCCGACAGGAATATAGCTGTAGAATTTGTCGATTAATTCTTTCTTGCGTGGTTCGACGTCTTCAAATGTAAGAGATGTTGCTAAAAGTCTAACACCGCAGTTGATATCGTAGCCGACACCACCTGGGGAAATAATTGATGTTGGATCTGTAAGATCGAAAGCTGCGACGCCGCCAATTGAAAAGCCATAGCCAGAGTGCATATCAGGCATACCGAAAGAGTTTCTGTAAATGCCTGGAAGTGTGGCGACAAATGCGATTTGCATAATTGATGGTAAAGCACGTTCACGATGCTGCATCCAGCTCTCGAGCTCTTCGAATTGGAACTTAACCATTTCTGGAGTTGCATAGAAAATTCCGGGAACTCTCATATTTGGAACAAAGCCAATTGGAATCTCCCAGGTGCATGGTTTTATCTCATGAATGAGTTTCGGATTGATAACAAGTTTCTCAACAGCGACTGCCATCTGAAATAAAAAATTTAACTTTTACAAAACGATTATTTTTTTATTTATTTTTTTGAGAAAATTTCATATCATTTCATATCATCGAAATCACATTCTTTATCTTATCATTCCATAGTTGAATGAATGGATAGAGAAATGCCAGGCATATGCAAGTTCAATGATTAGTTAATTACGACATTTTCACTGAATTTCAAATGTTCAATTTTATTGAGTATGAAATGACAATATTGATTTCTCTAAACTGAATAATTGGATCAAGTTGTGGTAATATAGTGTTTTCATTTATATTTTAAGAATTATTATGCTATTGATAACCCCAACGAATTATTATTTGATGACAATCATTTTTTTATGCTCATTCAAATTTGTTTGTCTATAGTATGCTGAGGTATAATTAATTTGATCGACATTTGATGAATTTGTTGTAATTATTTGATAATTGGTTTATTTTAGTAGATGGAAGCGCATTATTAATATGAAATTGACAAACTTGCTTGATATGAAATTGCACCATTTAGTAGAGTGGAAAATTTTAAATTCATTTGAAATTTACTTTCAAAAATCGAAAATATATGGAAGAATTAGAAGGTTCTGTTGTCTACATCTTTAATTTCTTGCAATCGGCTTTCAAATTAGCAATGCGATATAAAAAAAAATGAAAGTAAAAGAATTTCTTTATCGTTAATTTTATAAATTCTAAATAATATGAACCTATACAATAATACAAATAAAAGTATATCGATGGTAACGTTTTTTGAAAAGTACGATGACCGATATAAAACAGAAAAAAATTGACTTTGATATGAACGATGGAAAACCGCAAATTTTCTAAAATCACAATATACACCATGGAATAAGCGTTTGATAAATTTTGAAAAATTTGTGAATTTGTATGACCATTTATCGTTTAATTAGATGAGTGGTAACTACAAGTTCATTGTTATTGGTTCCAGTGGTGTTGGTAAGACAGCAATCCTCAAGCGTCTCGTAGATGATGTTTTCACTGGTGAATCACAATCTACAATCGGTGTTGAATTTATCGCTACAACAATTGATGTTGATGGACAGAGTGTTAAATTACAGGTTTGGGATACAGCCGGTCAAGAAAGATTCAGATCCATCGCTAAAGCATACTTCAGAAGTGCCATCGGTGTTATCTTGGTCTTCGATTTAACAGATCGTAAATCATTCGAAGATCTTAACCAGTGGCTTAATGATGTTCACTCTCTTTGCGATCCAAACGCTGTTGTTACGCTTATTGGTAACAAGTCAGATCTTGTCGGACAACGTGCAATCACACAGAGTGAAGCAGAGGCTTTCGCTGCCATGCATTCACTTACATATCTCGAAACATCTGCTCTTGGCGGTGATAATGTTCAAGAAGCTTTCCAGAGAACAGCTGCAGAAGTATATCGTCGTTCTTTGATGAAGGGTGACAATAAATCAGCCCAACCAGATGTTAAGAAGCTTGATAACAAGCAAGGCGGTGAAAAGAAGTGCTGTTAATTTATCTTTTCGTTGTCTTTTGATTTTTTTTATTTTATAAAACTTTTTTCTATATCTTTTCAACTCAAAAACTGTATATAATAATATACTTCAAATTTTACAAACAAGAATTAAAATAAAATTTAGAATTTTGGCCGAAATGGCGAACTTGTAACAATCCTTCTGGACTGCGACTGGAAACTTGACATACTCTTCGGTGGCCTGAACTTTCCAGCTGGATTTTGGTGTAATATTGGAGATGAATACTTAGAAGCGCGCATTGGAATGATTTTAGCGGCGGATATTTGTGGCATGGCCGAACTCTGTTGATGTAGACTACCTAATGATATATTAATTGACTCATTTGGTGTCCAATCGTATTGGAAGTCGTAAGTAAAGCCTTCGCGTATGAAAAGTTCTCTAAATAGGTTCCTGTACTTCGAGTAATCTGGTTGTTCAGTAAATTCGAGTTGTTTCACTGACGTTAAGAAAATCGAGAATTCGCAAGGAAGTCCGAAGCAAAGTTCATCAACTGAGGTTGATATTTTTGTTTGCATGATGTGGCGTATTTTTTCTTTCTTATCTTTCGTTTTGTAATTTTGCCAGGGTAATGAGCCTTTTAAGAAGTAAACAACCATGTAACCTATGCTTTCTAAGTCATCTCTTCGAGATTGCTCGAAACCTATATGAGAATTTATTGATGTATATCGAGCAGTTCCAATTAAAGATTTATGATCACGTAAAGGTATATGTTCATGAGTAATGGGGTCGCAATATCGCTTAGACAATCCCATATCAATCATATAAACCTGGTTATGATTCTTTCCTGTGCCTATGACGAAATTTTCGGGTTTTATATCGCGATGTATCAGATTTTTATTATGTAAATATTCTAATCTGAGTAGTAATTGATCCATGATCATGAGTGTAGTCTTCAAACTGAATCTTTTTCCGCATGTATTAAAAAGATCATTCAAAGATTTTCCGAGTAACTCCATAACCATAACGTTTTTTCCTTCTTGAACACCGTAATACTTGATTGATGGTATTCCTATGCCACCTGAAAGCAGCTTGTATATACAGTATTCGTTATGTAATTGTGGAGTTTTCGCTTTCTCAAGTTCAATTTTAATCGCAACTTTCTCATTTGTAACAATGTTCTCACCTAAATGAATATCGCCAAAGCTACCGCCTCCGAGTTTCTCCCGGAGGCGGTATTTTGATCCTATCATATCCATATTTGTAAAAAAAAAATATTGAACTAAATTTTGAATGATTTACAGCGTATTAATTTTCAGTTCCGGTATAAAGATTGCGTTCTTGCGATTTTGATTTAAATCTTTTGAGTCCAAAAGTTCATTCAAAAATAATCGTTTTGAGAGATTTATCAAAAATTCAAATGCAAAGTAACATTGTTATCAATATTCTTACATGGAACTGCGCATCTAATATGCCAAATCAAGAGGTAAACCATGTCTATGAAACAATTACGTATAATAATCCAGATTTGATATCTTTCTCTTTAGAAGAAATAGCTCCAACACCTCAAACAACTGAAGAAGGTAATACTGTCTATTTTAATGCCTGGAGTACTAAAATTTCGGAATTATTTGGTGATATGAATTATAATTTGATAAAATCAAAGAATGTTGGTGGCGTAGCACTGTTTTTGATCCAAAACAGAAACTCTTATGTTAATTTGAACGCAATAGAGGAATCTCACATATTCTTTGGCGGCCAAAAAACATTAAATAATGATATCATGCCAGCGAATAAAGCTTCGATCAAATTTACTTCTACAGTAGTTGTAAACAACCAGCAGAGAAAGATATCATTCTTAGCTAACCATTTACAAGCTTATGACGAAGAATATTTGCAAAGAAACAAAATGTGGAAAGAAATTGATGAAACAACATTAAGTGATGACTACACTATTTTCTCAGGTGATCTAAACTACAGAATTAACAATAAATACGAAAATGTCGTTGAATTAACAAAATCAAATTCATTTGGAGAATTAATTGCAAAGGATCAGTTAAAACAAGCTCAAAGAGAGAACATAGAGTTAAACAAGTATGATGAAGCAGATATTTCCTTCCTTCCAACATACAAATACGATGAAAACACAAATATTTATGATACATCATCAAAACACCGTGTTCCTTCTTACTGCGACAGAATTCTCATCAAAACTCAGAACAAAAGAGTTAAACCAATATTCTTAAAGTATAATAGAATCGAATCAATGTTTTCTGACCACAGACCTGTTTATCTCTCTGTTGATATTTCATTTGATGAATAAATATATATATGTAATTTAATTAACGTTGTTTTTTCTTTCTTTATACAAAGTATATATACACTTTGAATATGCAGCTCAAGGAAAGGATTAGTAAAGATGCTGATATAATTGATAGTGCATTATATAGAACATTTTATTCTCAAAACAGGAAAATTTGCTCATATTTGTTAAGCTTATCTGATTTCTCATTAGATATTTACTGGCATTGGCATCGAATGGTCAACTTTTGATGCATATGCATTGACTTGTAAATAGCATAGATATTCTAATCCATAAAGAGTTGTATGTATATGATTGATATTCTGGATAAATTGATGAAATCAAGATTCTAATTACAAATGATAAGTCAATTGAGATAAAGATGCCAGTAATATGGGAGAGAAGGCTATGATTCATCAATGTATGGCTAATTTGACTATTTGTTACTGTCATCGCGCAATATCATTTTGATTTAATTAGATTTGAATAAATTGATGATTATTTTTCAAATTTAGATCATAAAATATCTCAAATCATGCTTTATTCACCAATTGCACTGTGTTTATGCAAATTAGACACTTCAATCGTGAGAAAATAAAGGACACAACAAAAATTTCTATGTAAAGTACTGAAAAATTTTTGGTCATTTTTTTGAAATGAGCAAAAAAGAAGAGAGTGATTCTTCTTACGAATACACGGAAGAAGAAGATGCTAATGAACCACCAGCACCAAAAAACGAAAAGAAGCAATTTGATTTTGGCAATCTTGAAGAATTAGTCAAACAAAACAAGATTGAAGAAGCCATAGATAAGTGCCTTAATGTTATTGGTACAAGTCCAACATATTTTGAAGCTGCATTAGGAAAAATCATCACAATTATCCTCAAAACTTCATATAAATCTCGTTGTGCTTACTATGTTATCTTTAAAGAAGTAATTCGTAGATTCCAAGGCAAAATACGTGCCTACGATATCTATAAAGCTATATTAAAACGTTGCCAACATTCACAAAACGTCGAAATTAAGATTGCACGTAATTCATGCCTTGTTACATGCATTTCCTGCATCTCTAGAGCAGGCTTATTCAAAGACAACAAGGAAGAATGCTTGAAACAGATGAAACAAGTTTATAGAATCACATCTCAAGCTCCACCGATCAGATTGCTTGGTTTTGAGATCCTTATTGACATGATCCAGTCAAATGGCTTCACACAAGAGGAATTCAACGAAAAAATCTACCCAATTTTCCATGGAAAGTTCGATCCAGAGGAACCAAACAATATCGACCTTCTCTACTTGCACACACAGTTCTACAAGATGTTCCCTGAAGGACAGTTCATCGATGATATCAAGAATATAAGTAAATTAGAAACTCTCAAGAAATACACTCCAATTCTCCAAGCATCCGCAAGAATACGTAACCTTCATCCTATCTGGCCTCTTATCTGCTCATTCGACGCTCAATCTCTTTACAATGCGGCTTCAGAATTATGGATCGAAGGTGGAGACGATTTGACCTCTCCAAAACACATTCTTGCACATGCTCTTGCTGCTTGGGTACCACACGCGTCAAATCAGGACATTGTTTCCTTGATTCAGAACCAATCTTTGTTCTTAGCCGCTGCAAACGCTGGCCGTGGTCAGGAATTCAGAGACGTCCTCTCAAAAAAGATCAGAACGATAGAATCCGAAAAAATCGAAGTTGCAGTCGGATTACTTAATATCGCTGAAGAATCGAACTATGTGATGAAGGAAGTGCATCAGATCCTCACGTACATGGACGATGAACAGACTAGAACTGTTTTCGAGCGCGTAAAGGACACAATTAAATTTGATTCTTTCTCATACTTGTTGAATGCGCAGAAGAACAGAAAGACTGGGTCCGATGATAAGCTTATAGCAGAGATATTCGAGGTAGCTTGCTCAAAGTGCGATTCTGACTTCAATCGTAAGACATTATCGAAATTCTTGACTTCTGTCTCGAATTACAAGACACCAGCTGGTTCAGACTTCCTTTCTGTCCTAACAGGAAAGAACTTTACCCAGCCAATTGTCTGTTCTGACGTAAATTCGCTTGTTAATTCTACAAACGCGATGCTCGACAATCTCGACCAGATCCACAAGAAGATGAAGTTCTCCAGTGAGACTAAGATTGGAAGATGCCATAATTTGGACGAATTTGTCCAATTAATGAGAAATCTTCACGATACTGAGTTCCCACACCTCAAGAAGATCGCCTGTGCAAAGATTGAGGATGCCATTCCATTCTTGCGTAAGGAAGATTCAGATTTGGTCAAATTATATCCAATAATTATTCCAAAAGCCCTTGAAAAACGCGAATTATGCGAAGCAGCATTAGATGCAGCTCTTTCCAACTTCAAGGAGCTCCCAGATAGAACGAAAGAAGCTTTAATTAACATGCAAGAAATCAATTTACCATTAGAATCATCAGAAGCATCCGCTCTTCTTCCAAACCTTCTTAGAAAGAACGAAATTGGTGCTTTCTCAGAAAAGGCAATTAAAAAAGTTATTGACATGTCCGACCATGATCAAAAAGTGACAACTGCTGCCGAACGAGCTTCTGAAATTATTAACCAGAACGGCTCAACCTTTGGTGCTGGCGGCATCAACCGTATTATAGAGACAACAGAGGGAGCAGCCAGTGCTGTTTTAAAGGCAATTGAAGAGAATATTTCGAAAGCTCAAATGGGAAACAACAATATCGTAAAAATAGTTCATGAATGGGTCTACAATTCGATTGGAAAGGCTACAGATGATGAAGTTAGACATGTTGCCATTGATTTTGCTAAGAGAAACTACCAATCAAATCCAGATGGCAACAAACGCCTTGAAATCAACATGAGTTGGGTATACAAGGTTGTTAAACATCTCACAGAACAGGGTGCTCCTGAGTTATTTGCTCCTCTTTACGAAATAGTTAAAGATAGAAAGTCAAAGAGGGCAAAAAGACTCATTTTCCACCTCTCTGGCAAATCTAATGAACCTCCGAAAGAGGAAGACGTGAAATCTGAGGAAGAAAACCAGTAATTAGTAGAATTTTAGTTTATTTTATGTTTTAGAGATTGAAGAAATAGAATATTTTAGATTATAAAGAGTCATTTATTTATAAAACCTGTTTTTAAAAAATCAAATTATATTTTTCAATAATTTAATAAAAGCAAGCTGTTGTTTTACTCAAAAGCATAATACGTTGTGTGGTAATTTGTTTTGATTGTGTTTCGATATCCTATTTTCTATACTGAAGTTGATCAAATAATATTATCATAAGATCCTGAAATAAATGTAGAAATTCTTGAACAAATCAATACCTGTATGGATAAATAATAATACTTAATAATATTAGAATAATGATGCATATGATTATATTCAGAATTCTATGTATCTTAATTTTTTTCCAGCCTCATCTGGATCACAATTCTTTGCTTTGCTATTTAATATTCAAGATATTCTACAACTTCAAATTTGCATTCTTATGGTACAATGATAAGTGATGTATTTCCATTAGTATTCTATTCATCTTATTTGCTCAATATGCAGAAATGTATTTAACAACTTCAGATTGACAATGGTAAATGATTTCTTTCTCACTCAAAGAAAAGATTGATCCTTTATTTCCGTATTCAACCAGTTGAAATAAGCATTTTAAAACTTCGAGATGATCTCTAATTGATGTGTCAATGAATATTATATAAAATAAGCAATGCAAATGAATTTAACAACATCAAAATGTCCAAATGAGTAAAGTATTTCCAATATTGTTCATCCATTAATGATTAATTCTTAGATTGCAAAGATAATCAACAATTTGAAGATTTCCTTCAGAGATATTCAAAACCTGATGCAACTGTAAGAGGAGTTTTTCCTTTATTATCTAAAGGCCATACTGCCTAATCAACAAAAAAATACAAATTCTCAAAGATCTCATGAAAAAAATGTTGTTTCTTAAAATACTAAAATGAATAATTTTTACTAAACAAACAAATATTTTTATTCAACCTAATTTGCCTTGATTCTCAAAACGATCTCCTCAATAGAGAACATCTTAACCAAGTCATCTCCATTCACAGGACTGATTTGAGGGACACAAATTCCAGCCAATCCAACACTTTTTATGTTTATTGTTGGAATTTCTCTCTGTTCATCATTTTGTGCATTTGATTCCCTCTGTTTCTTCGAAGTAGCAGCAGAACTCTTCCTCTTTTTCTTTGTTTTGACTTCTGGAGAGTGTTCCACATTCAGTTTCTCAAGAGTTTCCTGTGGAATTACGATGTTTGGGTCTCCTCTCGAAATCAGAGCCAAATTCTTCTTCATTTCTATGATTTCTTCCTCTGTAACAGCACCTTGTTGCAGCAACTGCACCATTTCTCGCTCTGGCCATGTCAATTTCAGTGATTTTCCTCTTCCAAGTAAAGTATTGAAGAAATCTGACCAATTTTTAGCGGAAAGAACACCGTTTCTGTCGTAATATATGCTCTCTATCACTCTGTTGTTCATTAATGTCTTGGAAAGTATCTTCAATCCATCATTTTTCAGAGATGTCCTCGAAATATCGAAAATTTTGATGGATCTGTTCTCTCCAAGAGCATTTATGATATCGTATGCGGCTGTTGGTGTCAAGAAGCACTCGGAATCACCGGAAATGTTAAGAGCAGTGACAGTATTTGTATTAGATATGAAATTTGCAATGTGAGGAACGACATTTTCGCTAATTGGGCATCCTCTGATGGATACAATGGAAATATTGGTGTTGTTTGAGAGGAAATTAATGAAATTCGGTAAAATTACGTTTCCATCCCAATTAATTTCATTAATTTTCAAATCTTTCATCTCTTTGAGCCTCATAAATATTCCGTTCCAGTCTCCCGTATCGATTGTAGCGAAAGCCAGTGAAACAGAACGGTCATTTTGAGATGATCCAGCAGCGTAGATCATAGAAGTCATGCTACCTACTGTAAACACAACATTCTCCAATATTATGGAGTTTGCACCTCCGAAATTGGTGTTTTTGAAGATCCTTTTCCGACAATTATTATTTGACAGGTCAAGTTTCTCCAAATGAAGGTTTGTAGCTTCCTGGATGGCTGTAAGGATGTCGCTGATGTCAACGCCTATATGCTCAAGCGTTAAATTCTGTATTGAAGAGCAATATTTTAATAATTCGGTTACAACAACCTTTTTTTGGTTCGCTATCGTAAGTGAAGTGATATTTGAGAAATTTTTGGTCCTAGAAATCGGATTTATGAATGCAGGAACAGAAATATGGTTAATAGCCTTAACAAACGAAAGATTTTTGACTTTTGAGTTGTTTATCATGCGTGCAAGTGAATCTGCTGCATCTATGGGGAAAGAAGTATTAACAAACTCCATTTTTTGGAGTGATGAATGTCCATTTCTTTGTAAAGCGTCTGCAAGAAGAGAGAATGATGAATCGTACTTCTCGGCAATGGAGAAGCCTTGTACAAAACTGTTTTTGGCAAGACAACGAGCTAATGGACCCCAATTTGAATCAGAATCTTTTGATTTCGGTAAATAAAGGTATCTTACACGTGGATCAATTACTAATGAGAATAAGAAGTCATCAATTGCCTCCGAACTTAGCTTTGCATCTGACAAATCGATTTTATTTGAACCTGTTGTTGGATATTTTGACAAAATAGAAAGAATTTGGTGTGATAACTGAGATCCTCGTCCGAACACTCTAGCGCGATATCTTAGAAGCGCACAAATATTTCCTGGAACGAATTCTTCTACAAAAAATCCGTCAATTTGTATTTCTGGGTATTCCTCTGGTATTAATATATTGAGAATATGGTTGATAAGTAATTTTGCTATTTTTAGTGCGTGTTCATTTTGGAAAATTATAACTCCATCGTTATTAAAATACATTTCTAAGCGATTTTCTTCGATACAGACGATTTTTTGTAAGTTAAACCATTTGAATGAACGTGATGACTCAAGTTCTTTTGTGAAACCGTTCTCTCTGTATAATTCTCCAAAAGCTTCATTGCATTTTAAAAGTCTTCGATCAATTTTCCCTTTTGTATTGATTTTGTCAACCCAAAGGTTGCAGAATTCGATTGTCCGATCGGATGTTTCGAAATTCCAAGGCTTCGGATCCCCTCCAAGCGACATTTTTTTAGGTAAAAAATAAAAAAAAATTGAGAATTTATATTGTCACGTTTTTATCTATCAGATATGAAAAACCTTCAAAAAACACACATAATAATTAAATATTAATAAAAATTGTTTATATAATATAACTCTACATCGGAGTTAGTATGTTAATAATCAATTTTGGAAGAATAAATCAGATAGTTCATTGAATTTAGAACGATATAGCATAGATTATGAAAATCGTGTGATAAATAATCTTCTGATGTGGAGTGTTATTTCTTCTTTAAGTGCAAAAACCTTTCCTCAAGCAAAGCGATGTGAAATGATGAAAGGTCTCTGACAATCAAAATAAATGGTTCTGGTTCGAGTCTCGATGGTCACGTTTTTTAGAGTGGTTTTTGTGGTTCGGAATAGAAGTTCGAAAATAGCAATGATTCGTGTGTTAGATGTGTTGTTTAGTAGCAATTTGGCTAAGGAAATGTATTCGGTAATAAAATCACGAGTAAATACGTTCAATGGCAGCCTGCCATTTTACGATTTGACACATATTGTCGTCATTTTTGGCAAAGGTAAGATTCAATTCAATTTTGTCACTTTTGGATCTATAAATGTCACTTTTAAATTGACCTAGTTTATCTGAAAATATTTGACCTAAAGTGTCAAAATCGGTAATTCAATTTGAATAACGTTCTGCCTCCATCAATAAAAGTGAGCTTAAAAGATCTTTTGGAGCGAAAAAAATATGATAAATAAGCAATAAACGACTAGTTTAAGTACTCTAAATAAAAATTAATAATAAACATGATCTGAATTGAAATATTAAATGCCTCTAAAAGAGTCTGATTCGCATATGAGCTGGTAATTCTATCATTTCAAAGCAAATCTCTGGAGCTGGGCTTTCTTGTGTTTCTTGCTGTTCTAATGGATCATAGCCAAATGTACGAATTCTTCTGGCAGAATGTCTCTTAAGGAACTTAAACCTATTCTTTACAGAAATAGATGAACGTCCTTTCATATGGCTTGAGATTGTAGCCCATTTATTGCCATACATTTTATGGAATTTGAGAAGACGAGAGTCCTCCTCGGCTGACCAATCTTGGCGATTAATATTTGGATCAAGGACTGTAATCCATCTCTCTTTGCACTGCTTACCAGATCTGCCAGGAATGTGTCTGGCAATTTGATCCCACATCAAAGGCCCTGTTTCTTTGATCTGTTTCATAAGGATTCTGTCTTCTTCGGGGGACCATTTCCTCTTCACTATAGGGTGGTTGCATGTGTGACTCATGTGGAGCTAATAAAAATGAAAAATTATAAGAATTGAATTTTGAATGGTTGAAGAAATAGAGATCAGATTTGATTCAATTAAATTAATGAAATATTAGTTAGATATGCTCGTGACAATATGTAGACTATAGATATTATAAACCGATCAAAAATAAAAAAAAGATTGCGAAAAAAATTGACAAAATAGTAAGTATATGATGTTAATCAATAATAGTCTATAAAATTCAATTCAAATTGCACGCATTATTTATATTGAAATAAGAAGTTGTTCCTCACCGAAAATAAACAATATGTTATGATATGCTCAAATGTATAGTGAAAAGCAACTTAAGACGATAGTGACGTATTATTCGATATAAATTCAGAATAATATCAAATTGAATGATAATTCAATTTATTCAGATTCATCTGAATGAAATCAGTAGATTTTATGAAAATATAAATATACGTATATCATATAGCAAATATAGTTCAAACTAAGAAAACTATTCAATTAGTAAAAAATTAAAGAAAACCACCACATATAGTCTCTTTATTTGAGAATTCATATTTTGAAGGGCGGTTTAATAAACATCTCAAAAAGTTTTTGATAAGAAATTGTTTCGGGAAATTTTCGAAAATGTAATATTTATAGTTTCCCTGCAATTTATTTCAGATCACCCTTTCAATTTTGTTATTTTCTCAAAATCAAAATATTCATATTTTAAAAGATATCGTTGAATGTATCATTTTATGATCATAACCACAACCGTCGGTTTTTAAATGGGAAATAATAAAAAAATTAAGCTATTTGAATAAGAAAATCTTGCATATATGCAATATCTTATTAAAATAACATATATTTTTCATTCTCAAAAACAAAATTTCAATCAAATAATACACTCTATAATTACCAATAAAAAATAGAAAGAAATTAAGTTTAAATCAGATCCGAATTGTGTCAATAATGGCTTTCAAATTTTGAGAGGTTTTAGCTCCAATAAAAACACGGTATTGTCAGCCTGACAATTCTGCTACTCTATGTTAATTAGCCACTAACAGTTTAATGAAGACTGATATACGCCTTATTAGCCTTTCATACCCGAACAGATTTTTCATTTTTGATGCTTCAATTCTTCTATTTTATAATAAAATTTAAATTAATCCGAATTGAATCGGGAAAAGGAAGTATTCATTATTCGCCATTTGTATAACTTGCTTGTTTTTTAATATCAATTTCGCTAAATAATCACATTTTAAGTTTGATATCATTTAATTTTTAGTGAAAATGTTTGGGAGCATGAATTCGTCAAATAATTATAACATTTCTCACCTAGAATTATAATGAAATCTATATGACATTCAAAATATTTTGATCGATATCAAAAATCAAAAATTGAGTCAAGATCAAACAGATAAATTACTTATTATTGGCATTAACATTCTAAAAGAAATGATAAAAAAATTGGAATTTCCGTAACAAACAAAAAAATTTTTATTTAAAAGATGAACTCAACTTTCGCTGTTTCTTTGGCTTAACAATAAGAGGTGGCAAATTTAATGGATTTGAGTTAATTTTATCCGCTTGATTATATTTGAACATATTCTTTTTATTTATATTAGTTCCTGTCCTCTGAAGCATGGGGATTGTATTATTAAGTGGCATAATGCGTGGAGTTTTGTCTAATTTCTTCTTTGCTTCTCTGAATGCGAATTGTTCTTCTTTAAGTAGTTTATTTAAGTAAATGTTCTTTTCTCTGGCTCTTTCTAGCTCTATTCTGTTGTTTTCTTCAACAATTGCTATCTCATTTTGTAATTGTTGTCGATTATTTTTGAATTCTTGGTCTAAAGCAATATCTAAGGACTTTCTGGCCTTTTCGAATTCATCTGTCATCATTCTGTACCTTTCTGCTGTTTCTTCTTTCTCTAATCTGGCGTTTTTGTGTTTCATTTCTTCGGCAACAGCCAAATCTCCAACAAGAGCTGTAAGTTTCTCAAGATACTTGTATTGTAAAAGTTCTGGACTTTGTTTGTTGAATTGACGAAGTTTTGCAGGTGATTGCCAGTCGCTAATTAAAGCATCTCTTTGTTGCTCTTGACGTTCAAACAATCTGTCCATTTGTTGTTGCGCTTCTGCTTTCTTGTTTTCAAGGCGTTCTTTTGAAGTCTTTTGGAGCTCCTTTATGTAATCATGTTGTTGCGAACATCGATTTTTGAGATTTTCGATATAAGATTCTCTATATTTTATAAAGTCTTGCTTCTTAAACAAGTTTCTGATTTCGTTTATCTTATCGATAACTTCCTGAGCCTTTTTATAGTATCCATTTGAAATTAGATCGATTCTACGTGATGTAAGCTCCTCGAGAACCTCGGCAACAAAGTAAGGATCATCCATATTTGGGTTTTTACCTTTCAATGCATTGTCTGCCGCTTTTTGAATTTCCTCAATTTCGTATTTCGTTGTTTTCTTGGAGAATGAGTATACAGGTATTACTGGTCCATTATTTGCCTCTAGTGAGGGTATTAGAATAGTCTCTGGTGGTCTAGATTTCGATTGAGTTGGTACTTTAAAATTGTTGTCAGCTCCGATCGTGGAAAAGAATTCGGAAGCAGGCATTGGATTCCATTGCGTTGAGCTTTCCTCTACCTGCATTCCTGGTTCATCGATAACTTCCAGTTCAGCAGGGGCTTCTCCCATTTTAAAATTTTTCAATAAAAATACGTTGAATTTGAAAATTCGAAGAATTTCGATGTCATGTTTCTTACAGAATTTATTATCAGGCTGCAAGTTATTTGATTGTTTAGATTGTACTGTAATTTCTAACGCTGTTTTTCTCAGGAAAATGTATTTATCATCGTACAATCTGATGTCGAATTTTGAAATTCGCCTTTCAGATCAATATCGAGCAGCCAATATACTAAACTGTATATTTCAAAATGAATTGTACTGTTGAAACATTCTATCTTAAATTTTATTCCAATTGCTCAGATTTACCTTGAACTAGTGAAATACTTATTGTTGAACTGCTAAATCCCATCTTTTACATATTTGCATACTTGTATGTATGCTTGCCGGAAGAGAAAGATATCGGAGCGATATGATTAATATACTTGGCGTTCAATTGATTTAATTTACGCGTAGGACATACTATCCCTGTTATTGCAGTTTTGAATAAAGTAGAACATTATATCATTGACATAATTGTTTTATTCATAATTGATTAGCATTTGCTTTGATTATTAAGTTCTTTGTTCGTCCTCAATTAGTACACTATTATCCTAGCAGCATTTATTATATGATATATAAATGCTGAGAATCCAATCTTTGTATATCAAAAGATGTTGGATTTTGGTTTATCCATTGAATTTCCTATGAGTCATCAGAATGTATGAATGCCAATATTTAGTACAACAGTATAAATTTTGGCCAAAAAAAAGTTGTAAAATGTCAAAAATTTTTCAAAATCATCCAGCATGATATAATATGTATATGTGAAATGAAATCAAATCAAATTTTGTATACGCTGGGGGTTATTCTTGTCAAAAAATAAAATCTTGATATTTTCATAATAAAAGTTGAAATTTATATACTACAAGGAAAATAAAAATTAAGTGAATAGATAACTAACCTTTTTTCTATCGTTCCAAATCTATACTTGTAAACTCTAAAAATTTTTAAAATGGGAAATGAAGAGAGTCTTTCTATGCAAACATCTTATAAAATGACTGATAGCTATGCATATGCTCCAGTTGCTATCGATCACAGACCTGCCAATCAGCGTCCACAGTCAAAAGGATTGTTTATTGAACAACCTGGATCATTACATAAGACAGCGTACCATGGAGTATGGTCCATGCAGTACTCTACGACCTTAGGACCAGTAACGCGTATTGGACAGTGCTCTGTTTTCGATGCATCAACAAAAAGATTAATTATAGCTTACGGTGTTGATACAAATGGACAATGTTTGAACGATGTTTGGGCATTAGATGTAAATAAACTCTCATGGACTTGCTTAAATCGCAATGCAACTTCACCTCGTCAATTTGCTTCCGCTGTATTGATTGGTCGCAATATGATGGTTTTTGGTGGTGTGTGCAATCATAAATTCTTCGCAGAACTACACGCAATCAACATAGATACAGGCGCAGTTACGATGATTAATTTAAACAACCCAGGGCCAGGTCCGAGAAGTTCACCTGTCATGTTCGCTACTCCAGATGGTTCTCTCTATCTCTGGGGTGGTTACGATGGCGCTGCAAAGAGCGGAGTTCACGTTTTGAAGGCCGGATCAAATGAGTGGCATCGATACGAAAAAGCTCATACAGGAAGAGCTGCTGCTGCTTTCTGCGAGCACAAAGGTCGTTACTTCGTGTTCGGTTCTTCAAAAGGACACGGATTACTCGAATTCCATCCAGAAACAGGCGAATTTGATACAATTGACTGCACAGGAACAGAGCCTCCCCACCAACTTAACAGAGCTTCGTTAGTTTCCGTTGACGAATATTTATTCTTAATCGGAGGCGAAGCAGACTCTCAATTCATGCATATCTACGCGCTCGATGTCAACCGCTACTGGTGGTTTGCATTCCACGTCCGTCCAGACATGGAATCCATCAGTTTGGCGGATGGCAACGTAAACAAGAACGGATTGTTCCTGCTACCGAGAGAATATGGTGCATCAATAATATACAACGAAAGTAAGAAAGAAATTGTTTCTATAATGGGCTCAAAAATGTTAAATCTTGTTCCTATATTTAAGCTTTCCATTGGAGTGGCTTTATCATCGCTACACATAAGAAGCGATATGTACGAAGTTTTCAAGACAGGTTTCTATTGAAAAATTAATTTATATAAAATTGCGATTTATTTACTATTATTACATACATCATTTATTTACTCTTCATTTTTCTATAGTAAACACTTTGTCTTTTTAATGTTTTTTTGAGATTGAAATCGTAATAGAAAATTATCTCAAAATCTCAAGCATTTTTATGTCAAAAATCCTATTTAAACTTGATAAGAAGTAAATCGAAAGTCAATTGCAAGTAACTGATTTTTATAATTCAATTGAAACTGATTCAAAAATGGTATTAACTAGTTTAGATCTGGAATTCCGAATTTCTTGGATGACGATATAGCATTACGCATTATGAGTACTTTCAAGGTTCTAATTGAGAAATTAGATGAAGTCTCTGTAGTGAATATTTGCATTTAAAACGTCGAAATGAATAAAAATGTGAATAATGAGCAAATTGTTTTTATTGTTGATGAAAATGTTGATGAGATTTTGGCAGAATTTTAGAGGATTGAATGATAGATGAGAATATTAGGAGACTTGAGAGTGGCGAATCTTTTTCTCAACTAGATAAGGATGTAATTGAGATTATTAAGAAGACTATAGATGCAATCTCTCCAAAAAAAGTTATTGTTAGAATTGCAGGTGGCTGGGTTCGTGATAAAATAATGGGAAGAGAGAATGATGATATTGATATTGCGATATCTGGTGCCACGTGTAATGAATTCTCTGATGCCATGGTTTCTGTTCTAGGTCCAAACACGAAAAGGGTTTTGTTAGAAGCCAATCATGAGCAATTAAAACATATTGACACAGCAAGAGTATGCTTATTCCATGATTTTTGGCTTGATATTTGTTCATTAAGATCAGCATTGTATTCAGAAGGAGAGAAGTTAGAAGGAACTGCTGTTTCAGCTGCATTGCATAGAGACTTTTCAATGAACGCAATATTTTTCAATGTGCAAACAATGAAAATTGAAGATTATGTAAATGGAGTTCAAAGTATAAAGGATAAGATTATTAGAACGCCTATTCCTGCTATGCAAGACTTCACTGATGATCCAAATCGAATTATTAGATGTTTTCGCTTTGTTGCAAAGTATGATTTCAAAATTGATCCACAAATATATGAAGCAATACCTAAAATCATTCCATTGTTCATGAGAAACATCGCTAAAGATAGAGTAGCAACAGAACTGATCAAATTGATGCATTCAGACTCTTCATTTTTAGCTTTAGAAAATTTAATCAATTCTGGAATGTTGAATCCTGTTTTTGATCCAGAATCATTATGGTCTTTAGACAAAGAAGAAACTCTGAAGAGAATTCGTCGAGCACATCAAATAGAACCGAACTTAGAAGGAGAAAACAAAATGATTTTGTATTTCGCAGCAATTTTTCTTCCTTTAGTTGATAAAGATACAATTCCTGATCCAGCAAAGAAGAATAAGTTTACATCAGCTGTTCATTATGCAATTGTTCGTGCAATGAAGTTACAAAATGTTTTGGCTGATAACGTCAAAAAGATTCATCTCGGATTTTCTTTGGTTGAAGCTATTTACAAAGGAGAATTGAATAGAGTCACAGGAGGAAGGTTTGTTATGAGTGTTGGACCTCTTTATAAATTAGTAAGACCTTTGCTGATGGATGATGAATTATTAAAGTTTTATGATGAAAAATTAAATCCATTTATTGTTGCTGAAAAATTAGAAAAATCATATGAAATGAAACAACTAATGGATGGAGTTTCTCTTGCCAATATATATGGAGTAAAGCCTGGCCCAGTTTTGAAGGATTTAATTGAGGAGATGATAAATTGGCAACTATCAAATCCAAATAGATCAAGCGATGATTACAAAAAATATATTTTAGAGAACAAAAAACAAAAATAAAATGTTAAAAATTATTGTCTGTTTGTTTCTTAAACTGGAGCAATTTTATTGATCGAACGACATGTTCGCTATGTAGCATATCTGATACGGCAAACGCATAATGCTATTATCCTAATCTAGAAATGAATTTCACGGATAATTGCTCAAGATAATTCAAAATCAAATTGTAATAAGCAAGTAAATCATTATGTTTTGATTGATACTTATTTTTAGACTTTATGAAGACTTCATTAGTGGAAACATGATTGTAAAGTTTCTACTAAGAGTTATAACAAAAGAATATTATGTTAATTGGATGAAAAAAAATTTGATTAAAATGTTGAGGCTATTTGTATATTAATTCAAGGTTTAATATGGAAAAATCTGAATAAATAGTTCATAGAAAATACAATAAATGTATTAAAAAGATAAAATTTTGGATTATTGTTGAAGATTAAAATATTGGAAATTATTTCTGAGAAAGTAGCATATTTTTATCTATCCAAGAAGTTAATGTAATAAATTAAGGATGTCAATTTGGAAGAAAAGTGAGAAAATTCCTAAAATGCTAAAAATGAATTTTCCAAACATATTTTTTTATCTCATTTTTTTGATTTTGAAAAAAATTTGGAGAGAAGAACTCTTCGTTTTTGAATTTTATCACGATGGTTTTAAAGTATATTAGACACATGTATTGGTATTACTATTTTTGTATATTTTGAGAGAAAATCCCTAAAAAGTGAGAAAATCTAAGACGGTTTGAGAAAATATATAAACTATTGAAAATTTGAATTAAACTTCTAATTTGGAAAAAAGAAATTTGGAAAGAAGAAAATTCAAAAATCGAGATTTAGACTCAGCATCAAATGGAGAACAAAATGTTTCTTCATATGAAGGAAAAAAATTTTCTTGTGAAGAAATAGAGTTTTTAAAATTTTATTGTATGTAATGAAATAAACAAATATTAAAATTATTTTTTGATAACAAGAAAATTCCCAATAGAAAATATTTGAGAGAAAGAAAAAAAGAAAATTGAAAAATATTACTCTCCTTTATATTTCATGAGATTTTAAATTTATTCTCATAAAATTGACAATTTTATACGTTTAGATGAAAATAAGTGATTTTGGTTGAAATAGAAATTATTATTTGCTTACAGCTATCAAATAGATTTTTGCTATTTTGATTAAAATTTGTTAATCAAATTAATAAATTTTTTCTAAATATCTTAAATATCTGGATCACTTACATATACAATGAATTGAACGATAAAAATAATACAAACTCAACTAAGTTTCCTGTCTTTCAACTAAAAAAAATTATGCAAATTAAGGATGTCAATTCGGAAAATTGTTTTCATTTTAGGAGAATATAATTTTCCTTTTGGAAAAATTAAAAAGTGAGACGCGCAGGATTCGAACTTTTTTAAAAGTTGATTTAAATATATTCTAGTGTGGATTCTAAGGATAATATCATATTTAAAATAAGAATATACTAGTTTAGGTGGTATAATTTTTTTCGATAAATTTGAGAGCATGAACGTTTAGGGCATCAAAAGTGTCAATTCGCTCAGCGAAAGCTGAGCTAGCTTCGTTCTCGAAAGAATAGGGAAGGAGTGAAAGAGAGTGATACAGATGTTGACACATTCATATCATTTCAACAAATTTTGATCAAATTGAAATGCAATGAAATTCAATTCACTTCATATCCTTCAGTCAGTACATTGACATCCTTCTACATCACAATGATAACTCGTGCATCAATAGTTCTACAACTAACTCAGAAAAAACAAGATTTTTCCTTCCAGCTTACAGCTTTTAAAAAGTTTCGATGATAAAAATCACTCTACTCTTGTTTATCGATATGTTGTGATAGTAGGTAAACGTATTCTTATCGATATTAATAAAAATATTTTTACGAAAATCTGAACCAATTACAGAGTTATTCATAAAGTTTATGATAACTGTAATTACTTCATCTTTGTTTTATATTTGAATAAACAATTTAATTTAATTTGCATAATTTTTTTTAGTTGAAAGACAGGAAACTTAGTTGAGTTTGTATTATTTTTATCGTTCAATTCATTGTATATGTAAGTGATCCAGATATTTAAGATATTTAGAAAAAATTTATTAATTTGATTAACAAATTTTAATCAAAATAGCAAAAATCTACTTGATAGCTGTAAGCAAATAATAATTTCTATTTCAACCAAAATCACTTATTTTCATCTAAACGTATAAAATTGTCAATTTTATGAGAATAAATTTAAAATCTCATGAAATATAAAGGAGAGTAATATTTTTCAATTTTCTTTTTTTCTTTCTCTCAAATATTTTCTATTGGGAATTTTCTTGTTATCAAAAAATAATTTTAATATTTGTTTATTTCATTACATACAATAAAATTTTAAAAACTCTATTTCTTCACAAGAAAATTTTTTTCCTTCATATGAAGAAACATTTTGTTCTCCATTTGATGCTGAGTCTAAATCTCGATTTTTGAATTTTCTTCTTTCCAAATTTCTTTTTTCCAAATTAGAAGTTTAATTCAAATTTTCAATAGTTTATATATTTTCTCAAACCGTCTTAGATTTTCTCACTTTTTAGGGATTTTCTCTCAAAATATACAAAAATAGTAATACCAATACATGTGTCTAATATACTTTAAAACCATCGTGATAAAATTCAAAAACGAAGAGTTCTTCTCTCCAAATTTTTTTCAAAATCAAAAAAATGAGATAAAAAAATATGTTTGGAAAATTCATTTTTAGCATTTTAGGAATTTTCTCACTTTTTTTTCCAAATTGATATCCTTATGCAAATTAAATTAAATTGTTTATTCAAATATAAAACAAAGATGAAGTAATTACAGTTATCATAAACTTTATGAATAACTCTGTAATTGGTTCAGATTTTCGTAAAAATATTTTTATTAATATCGATAAGAATACGTTTACCTACTATCACAACATATCGATAAACAAGAGTAGAGTGATTTTTATCATCGAAACTTTTTAAAAGCTGTAAGCTGGAAGGAAAAATCTTGTTTTTTCTGAGTTAGTTGTAGAACTATTGATGCACGAGTTATCATTGTGATGTAGAAGGATGTCAATGTACTGACTGAAGGATATGAAGTGAATTGAATTTCATTGCATTTCAATTTGATCAAAATTTGTTGAAATGATATGAATGTGTCAACATCTGTATCACTCTCTTTCACTCCTTCCCTATTCTTTCGAGAACGAAGCTAGCTCAGCTTTCGCTGAGCGAATTGACACTTTTGATGCCCTAAACGTTCATGCTCTCAAATTTATCGAAAAAAATTATACCACCTAAACTAGTATATTCTTATTTTAAATATGATATTATCCTTAGAATCCACACTAGAATATATTTAAATCAACTTTTAAAAAAGTTCGAATCCTGCGCGTCTCACTTTTTAATTTTTCCAAAAGGAAAATTATATTCTCCTAAAATGAAAACAATTTTCCGAATTGACATCTTTAAGATTTCCCTAATTTAATCCTCCTGATGTAAAGACGAAATTTTGAATGACAGATAAAAATTTTATGAAAAATTTTAATTATCCAAAAAAATCAAGAGGTGGTATGATGTGCAGCAGAAAGAAATAAAAGAAATCATCATAAGCTGTGTAAAAAATAAACGGTTCTGCTAAGTCAAATTTTGTCATAATTACTAATAGGATGAAAGTACTATTTATAATATAATTACAAGCCAAAATGATGAAGGAATGCATCTAAACTATATGCAGTGGCCAACATTTTTTCGTTCAAATAATTCGGTGGTTCTAATGGTAAAAGCATGGTGAACGGTTTCATTGGAGGTAGAGCGCGCTTAATAACACCTTCTACCATCGGGACATGAGACTGTACAGGAATTTCGTGTGATGTCAATGGGGAAACCTTAACTGCAGAGATGGGCTTTTCTTCACGGGAACGGTATTTTGATGAGTTATGCTGAGATCTCATATGATTTGATGGTTTTCTCATCATCTTCTTGAGTTGTTGATAATGATAACGGCATTGAACGTCTGATCTATTACCCATTGAGTTTGCAATCTTGGCCCAAGCGGTTTCGCCGTATTCTTCAACAAAATCAAGGAGTTTCTTATCTTCTTCGGCTGACCATCTCTTTTTAGAGATTCTAGGATCTAAACCTCTAAACCACCTTTGGGAGCACTGTGCTCTTGTTCGGGTTTCTCCAACAATTTCTGCAACTAAAGACCAATTATCAGTGCCATTATGAAGAATTCCAGCGAGAAGTCTTCTATCTTCTTCTGTATTCCATGGTCTTGCCCTCTTCCTTCCACTATTCGATACAGATCCGATCGAATCTGAAGATGAATCAGAACTAGAAGAATCTATTTCTTCACGTGCATTAACATCTGTTTCGAGAACAGCTTTGAGCATTTCAAGTGGTGTGGTAGTACCAAGTTTATCCATAAAGATTGACAGGCAGTCTTCGTAAGAGATCGAATCACGAATGTAAGAAAGAAGAATTTCTTTTAAGTTTTCAAAAACTGAATCATCGATCTCTGGATTAAGGTCTTGGAACTGTGAGCTGAAATATTCTAATATGCAATGCTGACCAAGAAATGAGTTACTCATTATTTTGAACTAAAATATTTTTGAATACAATTTTGAGTAGGAGATTTACAATCTCTCAATTTTTACGTAGTGACCTTCCCTGTTGCTTGGAATTGAAATGCGATTTGTTTATGTATCAAGTGCAAAAAAAAAAAAAAAAAAAAAAAAAAAAAGGTAGTGGGGCTTCCAGGCACTTCGTGCCTTCTAGCCCTGAAGATGTTTAGTATAAATGAAGTCTTAGAGGACAAACATGACTATGAGTTTTGATATGACAAGATAGAATATGAGAGAGGTCCTATAAACCGGAGAAAGTGTTATATAAACATCTGTCATATTACTCAGAATATTATACAGAATTCAATAAAAATATATTTTAGGTGAAGAGGTGAGATTTCACCTGTTTTTTCACCTCTTTTTTCACCTCTTGAATTTTCATGAATTTCATCGTAAAGACTTTGTCAAGATTTCATCGTAAAGACTTTGTCAAGATTTCATCGTAAAGACTTTGTCAAGATTTCATCGTAAAGACTTTGTCAAGATTTCTTCGTAAAGACTTTGTTGAGATTTCATCGTAAAGACTTTGTCAAGATTTCTTCGTAAAGACTTTGTTGAGATTTCATCGTAAAGACTTTGTCAAGATTTCTTCGTAAAGACTTTGTTGAGATTTCATCGTAAAGACTTTGTTGAGATTTCATCGTAAAGACTTTGTCAAGATTTCTTCGTAAATGTTTTGTCAAGACTTCTTCGTAAATGTTTTGTCAAACATGAACGTAAATGTTTTGTCAAGACTTCTTCGTAAAATCAGACAAAAATATATTTTAGGTGAAGAGGTGAGATTTCACCTCTTTTTTCACCTCTTTTTTCACCCTCTTGAATTTTCATGAATTTTACACCAAAAATATTTTAGGTGAAGAGGTGAGATTTCACTCTTTTTTCACCTCTTTTTTCACCTCTTGAAATTTTCATGAAATTTACACCAAAAATATACTACTAGGGTCATTTACGAAGAAATCTCAACAAAGTCTTTACGAAGAAATCTCAACAAAACATAGACAAGAAAGTTCATGAGAAATTAGATGAAGAAGTCTTAACAAAGTCTTTACGAAGAAATTCATGAAAATTCAAGAGGGTGAAAAAAGAGGTGAAAAAGAGGTGAAATCTCACCTCTTCACCTAAAATATATTTTTGGTCATTTACACTCATTTACGAAGAAAGCTCAAACACAAAGTCTTTACGAAGAAGTCTTAACAAGTCTTTACGAAGAAGTCACAATAAAACATCTGTCACTTCTTCAGGAAAAAACATTTTTATTATATATATAAAATGAATTTTACAAAACCACCGTTACCCTTCTTTGGAAATAAGAGTAGATGTAAAGATATTCTATTGAGAGAACTTAAGAAACTACCGAATGGTCTAACATTTGTAGACTTGTTCGGTGGAAGTTTCTATATATCTCATTTGTGCCATACAATATTTCCTGACTCAAAGATTATATGCAATGACTTCGACAACTATATGAACCGTCTCAAACATATTCCAGACACAAACAATATATTGAAAGCGTTAAAAGAAAAGATACCTATAGGTAAGATGGAACGTATACCATTAGATAAGAAAAATACTGTCAGAGAGGTTTTGAAAAAGGCAGAGTATATTGACTGGGATAGTATATCTGCTAGACTATTATATAGTGGTGCTATAAGAGTTCATGACATTGAAACACTTATGTCAAAAGTTTTATATCTTAACTATACAAATGTTTTCAAAGAGAACATAGAAAAATATATTGAGGGTATAGAGTTTGTGAGATGTCATTGGACAGAGTTGTATGAAAAATATAAAGACAAGGAAAATGTTTTCTTTATAGTGGACCCGCCGTTCTATAACACATGGGATTTTCAATACCAAGTAGACTGGACTTTGAGAGACTCTTTAGAAACTTTAGACGTTTTACATAACCATCCATGCTTTTACTTTACATCCGATAAAAGTGGTTTGGAAAGTGTCATGAGATGGTTAGAGGACATACATGACTATGAGTTTAGATATGACAAGATAGAATATGAGAGAGGTCCTATAAACTGGAGAAAGTGTCATAACAAAGAAATTTTACTAGTAAGTAAATGTGGTTTGAAATAGGACTACTTGTTTTAGGTTTTTTCCATTGTGTCATTTACTTATTTGACGTGGCAGAAAGAATAGAGAGAATGAAGATGAACCAATGCCTGCAAATGTTCAGTATATGTACTCGTAAGAGATATTTTTATCTAATATTAAATGGACGCACAGAACTTAGCGAATGCACAGCAACCTGGACAACCAAACCCAGAGAATATTCCAAATGAAGTTAGAATACAAACTGCAATGGCAAACTATGGTCAAGTGCCAACAGATGTACAAATGCAAACTGCCATGTCAAATGACGCTGCGTTAGGCTTACCACCATGGTATGCAAATATGAGATGGAAAGAGTTTATACAAACCCTGAAGTGGGATATAAACAACTTTATGCAGATGACGCGAACACAGGAGTTGACCCAGAATATGTTTTCTACCAGAGGAGAAATAGAATGTATGAGCTCCAGTTAAAGAATGCTATGGAACTCAACAGGAAACGTAAGAGACTAGGCGGACATTAGATTTTTACATATAGTAAAATGGGTTTCTTCAGTAGTATTGGAAACTTCTTTCGAAATGTTGGAAGAGGTATATGGAATGGAATAAAAACCGTAGGAAGAGGAATTTGGAACGGAGTCAAAAATATTGGTAAAAGAGTAGGTCAGTTCGTTGGTATTATACCTAAAGACCCTGAACCAGAAGAACAAGCTCCTGTTATACAACAGCCTGAACCTGCACCACAGTCAAGTTGGCAACCAAATCCAACACCTCAACCGTATTAAAAAATTATATTTTTACCGTTCGATAGTAGTTGTATATGAAACTAAGTTCTAAGTAAAACGCATGGTATAATGGAATTATTCTTTTTCTTCCATCTGTAGTAAACCATACTTGAAAGTCTGAAATACTTCCACTTGGTGGTTCGTATAACTTTGTAGGTTTTTCGTAAAAGTCATTTGCCAAGCATAAGAAAGAGTTTTGGGCGCCAGAAAATGAAGCATGAACAATAATAGCAGCTGGGTCGAAAACATCTTTAAATAAATATCATTATCTCTTGCATATCGACTGTAAATATTTGCTAAAGGAAGTTCGACTTTCTGATTTAACATTCTTTGCAAATAATACCATGACATTGCAGTGAATTCTGTATATATTTGTTCGTCTTTCTTTGGATTGTCTTCGTAGATTTGAAATGACACTTGTGAATTTTGTTTGTCATATACAATTCTCACATAAAGTGTGCTCTCGGTATTTGCATATTCATCAGCATATTTTGCATAACATGAATTTATTTTATCTTCTATATTTTTTAACGCAGTCTGTAGAGAAGATGATGAAAGGTCAACTTGTATTAGCTCAATTTCTTCCCACATTTTTTCGTTTCCCTTCAGATATATAATCTATATGAAACCTTACAATAAATGGAAAACTTTTATCTTCTACAGACACAAACTTCATTCTACGAAAGCCAATAGCTTTTGTGACAGATGGGTCTCTTAACCATCTTAACGGGTAGTCAAAACGATAGCCTTCATGCTTTACGGTCTCTGTCTCAAACTTTTGACCGACATTCGTAAAAAGTTCATCTAATGGTTTAGTTGTAGCAACTCTTGAATTTTCTTTTTCTATTGAAAGCATATTTTATCTAGAATAAAAATGTCGAAAGAAACAGCGTCTATGAGAGAAATACAACACAACCGACAACTCATTTTGCAAGCTCTAAATAAGAACACAACAAACTTTTCAAACTATTCTAAGATATCTGAGTCATTGAAAAAGGAAACTTAAAACTGACGATAAACCCAATGACAGACGAGTTTCTGTTTCAAGACAGTAAGAACCATACTGTTTGTATAAATCCAACAAAAAGAACTTTAAACGAGAAACCTATAGATGAACTTCTTTTGAAGGCAGATATTGACAACAAAGCTGACAAAGAGTATGCAACAAGAGACTATATTCTCGCATGGACAGATAGAACATACCCACAAAAACACCATACACATAACATCTATGACGTAGATGAACTACCAGCAATGTTAGATGACAAAGCGGATAAAACATATGTTGACAATAAAATGTCAAGTGAAGTGACAAGAGCTGACAAAGAATATTCTAAAAAGACTCATACACATACCATTGCAAATATTACAAACTTACAAGAAACCTTAAACAGGAAAAGTGACGTTGGACATACACATACCTTCTTCTCAACTGTTGGTATAGAAAGTATTTTAGGAACGATTGAAGAAACTGGTGGGGGTGATTATATTTTAAACCTCCTAACTTTCCAGAAGGTTTAACATCGGATAAAGACATTAGATGTAGAAATGTCTATGTCATGGAGGATGAAAAAAAAGTTAAAATTCACTGCTCAAGATTTATATGATAAAAAAGCTGACAAAACAGAGCTTCAAACGTTAAAGACAGAAATACTTCAAACAGTATATCCTATAGGTTCTATTTACACGTCAATGAACTCTACCAGACCAGAAGTAGTACTTGGTTTTGGAACTTGGACTCAAATAGTCGACAGGTTTTTGTATTGTGCAAACTCTTCAAAGGAAACAGGTGGAAGTAAAACGATTTCAGGTGCAAATTTACCTGCGCACAGTCACTACATAAATTTAAGTACATCTGAAGCAGGTTTGCATAGTCATAGATTTTGGGATTGGTCAGGAATGACAAAAGGTAAAGGATATGATGTTAAAGAGGACGTTAAGTTTGCTATAAATTGTTACTGGGATAACACTGATGTAGGAGGAAGCCATACACATCGCGTTTCAGGGTATACGCAAACAACGGGACAAAGTAAAGACTACATGCCACCTTACATGACAGTTTACGCATGGTATAGAAATGCTTAGTCGTCATTTTCAACTTCTTTAGCATATTCGTCAGGAGTTGTCTTATATTTGTTAGGAACTGTCTTTGAAAGTATACCACCTTGAACTTTGACAAGTTTGAAACGAGGTCTGACAATAGTAGTTTTATCTTCTGCTTGCAGTCTGTACATTTTGCCATGTTTGCCTAAAACTTCATAATATTCTCTTGTATACTTTCTTCTATTTTTACGAACACGAATGTGAGTACCTGTCGAGTTCCCATTGTTGTCATAGTCAATAGTATTTTCATATGGGTCGCGTTTAGGTATTTCTATTTTTACTTTGTCACCTTTTTAAGTTTGAAGCCTGGCATTCTTTCTTGTTTGTCTCTTTTGACTAAACTATTAAATATATAGTCTTTCTCTAAGTCAGGGTTGTTTTTCATTTCTTCGGGGGAGTGGTTTCCCAAACCTTTTTTTTACGGCTATTGTAAATATTTAAAACTTGTCTCATCTTTGCCATGGAGAAGTGTCTGTACTTGTCGTCATATGACATTTCATCTACCTCACCACCTTGTGGTTGGTTTAAATCTCTTAAGATTTTTATACAACTGTCAATGACACCAAGAGCAGAATGGTTTTGGTCGACAATGAAATATTGGTTTACATTTTTTGAACGCAGATAGTTTTTAATATCGTCTGATTTGAAAGAACGTTCACAGTCAGATGTCAGTTTTGTTGGATGGTATTTGTCAACGAAGATTGTCAAAGCAGTTTTCACATCTAAAATATTTTTGGACTGTAATGGTATGGCTTCACAGTATCTTGTGTTTTGACCGACAAATATTAGCCAGTATGGTGGTCCATCTTCTCTATACCTCGGAACCAAGATATCCATAAACCAAGCATTTGGTGTTGAACTAAAGATTTTTACCATGAGTGCTTTCTTTGTTGCTTTAGAAACATACGGGTCCTTGTTTGAATTCGTCATTTTTATCCTATAAGAAATGGGTTTATTTGGCGCATTAGCAGGAGTTGCATCCAGATTTTTGCCCGCAGTGGGAACAATAGCCAGAGGTGTATTTGGAGTTGGAAGGAAGATTTTGAGTACATTAGGTATACTGAAAGAGAAAGCACAACCTATTATACAAACTGTACAGAAAGGTTGGGAGGTAGCACGAGATGCAGCAAATCTTATTCCAAATCCTGAAACAAGAGGAAAAGTTCAAGGATGGATGGACAATGTAGGAAGAGAAGCAGGAAACTATTATAACAAAGCAAATGACTACTATAACCAAGCAGGGCACTATATGGACCAAGGTGAAAGATTCTTTAACAGAGGATATAACCATGCACAACAGTGGGTAAACAACAACCAACCGCAACCGCCTCAAACGTGGGGAATGTAAATTTTTTTACTGAGATGAAATGAACAATACAGCATTGAGACAAATGGGCTCAAGATGGATTTGTCGACTTCCAGCAGTTACACAACCACGTGTTTGTCAAGTTCTTCCTATACCTCAGGAAGTTTTAGACCGACTTAAAAAACCTAAACAACCAGTTGAAAACAAAACAAACTAAAATTTTTTACTGAGATGAAATGACCGAAGAAGTTGAAACGGTAGATTTGACACCACAAACAAAAAGTTCAGAACCATTGTCAAAACCTGTCAAAGAACTTACAGATGAAGAAAAAAATTCAATAATAGAAAGTGCCAGGTCTGGAAATACAAACCCTAACTACAAAGTCACTTTTCATAGAAATGGAACGGCTAGTATCTCAAAAAAGAAACAGACTCTCACAAATAAAATATTGAAGTCTGAAGGAGTTTATGAGACAACAGATGGAAAAGTTTACTTCACTGACGAACAGTTCATTATAGAACATCTCATTGACTTAGAGTCGAAATATTCTAAACTTTACAACAAACACAAAAAGTTGAAAGGAAAACAAAAACAGATGGCATATGATATTTATGAAGATGTTGACAACACAACCATACCTGCAAGTGAGGTAAAGTCAGAGGAACCAAAAAGTGACGAAAAACCGATAGAAGAAGGTGAGCCAAAAACTGAAGATAAACCAAAACCAAAGGTTAGTTTCCAAACTAAACCAAGTCAACCTTCATTAGCTGGTATGGGTTGGCGTCAAAGGCTTATGGTAGCTGGTGGTTATGTTAAGTAAAGGAAAAAACATTTTTTTATTTTTATAAAAATGCCCCTATATAGAATAGATAGAAAATCTGCTAGAATAAAAGCAGAGTTGCAAAGATATGGTTGGAGAGTTTCGAAGAATTTTAAATATAGGAAGGGAAGACCCATAAAAGTCTATGACAAATTGTCTGGTCTTCGCTACGAAATGGACTTGGAAACAGCGCGCGCAAACTATCCAAACAGATTAGAGAGGTTAGAAGAAGAACGTCTTATGGACATGCCTTTCGATGTTAACGAGCCGCAAGTTGAAGGACAAGACGGCTTTGCCAGATTCTACTGGAAACATAACGAACAATTGCATCCTTTGAGAAGGAAAAAAGGTAGTGCAGAGGATGGTCATGCTCCCATGGAAAGAACAAGATATGCATATGAAAAGTACCGTGAAGTTAGAAGTAAAATTACATCTGGTCGAACCTTTACAGTAAACTTTGACGAAGGAAAGAACAAAGAAGGCTTCATGGGTGTACTTGCTGCCATTCAAGACGGAAATAAGAAAGGACACAATCTCAGACTAACTATAACAGATTTGGACGGTCATATATACTACTCACATGGCAATGTCACAACAGCCGCACAACTTCTTGACGCTTTCAAGACTACAAAGAGAGAACAAATGTTTGACTCCGACTCAGACATTTTTGAATGCAATTGAAGGAATTGTAAGCGTGAAGTTCGAATGGTACCAACCTAACCCTCAAGCAGTCAGACAACATGTTTGTTAGATGAGAAATATGAAGTAAAAACGTTTTAAAACAGTATATTTTTACATATATTAAATGTTTCAGGTTGAAAAAACAAAGAACAAAAGTAGCAGATACAAAACCGTTAGACTATATCTTTACAAACGCTGGTAGGACTGTATCAGATGAAGAAATTTCATCCGGCTCCTACCGCTTTGACTTTCCAATTCGTTGGCTTCAAAGTCCTTCAGATGCAAAGGCAATAGGATTTAGAAGAGTTTTGTTTTCAAAAAGAACTAACGCGTTTATGTTTGCAGTATATTTTCATGGTCAGTATAGAGCTTCTGACGGTCTACTAGACAAATTTGACGAAATGAGAATCTTTACGGTTCGTTCAGACGAAAATCTTGAGAAGACTCTAAATGACTTTCAAACTCAAATAAACAAATACTACTGGGAATTTCAAGAAAAATACCACTCTTTACTAAATGGAACGTACTATCTGAAACTAGAATATGACAAGATGAACTCCACAGTTTCATTTCAAAGGATTGAAAATAACCCTCCAAGAGATACACAGTTTTTATTTTGGCAAGTAGACAAACGTTCTTGGGCACAATTTCTTCGGTTACTAAACCAGAACGAACCATTACCACCTGACGGTCCGTTCTGGTTTATACGCCCACCAACAGATTTGACAGTTTATAGAAACGTGTTTGACCCTCAAAATGTCATGTGTCATGCAAGTTTCAGTTCAAGCAACAATAGTTTTCTTTGTATTGGTAAGGACTTTTATGACTTTGCTTCTAAATTCTACGAACCACCTAGTAACAGTTTCTCTGACTTTCAAGTTTGGTTCACAACAAACGGTGTGCAGCATATTATTCCATTGTACTACGACTTTTATCTCGAATTGTCTTTCATATATAACTACGGAGAAGTGCTGAAAAAGTATTGAAAAATATATTTTAGGTGAAGAGGTGAGATTTCACCTCTTTTTCACCTGTTTTTTCACCCTCATGAATTTTCATGAATTTTGTGCTGAATTCGACAAAAATGAGTTTTTGGTTGAAAAAAGAGGTTAAGCCAAAAGTGGCTTAACCTCAAAACAAGCATTTTGTGAAGAATATAGCAACCGTCGGAAAAACAGCGGGTTGCTTTTTATACAAAATTCAACAGGTGAATTTTCATGAAATTCCTTAAGATAGAAAAAATAAAGTTAGTTTTTTTAAAAAAATATTTTTTATTTTGTATGTAAGAACAGATATGTTAAACATTGAGTTTGAAACAGTTAAAAAGATAGACAATGACACCAAAGTGGTTAGAATAGGTGATTTAAACGTAAGATACTCAAAGAAATACAACAAATATTCTTTGTCAGACATTATATCTCCATCTGGAAAGAAAACATGGCATTGGGTTGGAATTGCTTCAACTCAGAAAAATTTTGACAAGAAAATCCTGAGCTTATGATATCGGTAAGATTCTATGGAACTACAGCATATCTCATTGACAAAAGTCTTATACCGATAGTTTTGTTATGGATTGAACCCAGTTGTTGGATATAATTTCATAACATATGGTTCATTCGATACGGAACGTTGCAGTGAGGGCTTACTTTACATCGTTCAGAAACCGAAGACTTCAATACAAAGAGATATAAGATAGGAAGAACATATAATATAACTCAAAGATATGACAGTACAGTCAATAGAGTTAAGGTTGTGTTTGTTAACGATATGAGAGCTGCTGAAACAGAACTACTTGAAAAGTTTGAGAAGATGTAATGGTGCCCCACGAAAGGTAAAGAAACGTTTGAAGTAGATGAGATAGATAGTGCTATAAAATTATTTGACGAAGTTGCTGAAAAATACATGTAAAGCGTATATTTTTGGTCTTTTGTGAAAGTCAGAAAATAAAGTTAGTGTCATTTTTTTGTATTTTTTTTGTATTTGACGAGAATGTTTATGTTAGAATGTTAGATCTAACATGTTTTCTAACACGTTTTCTAACATGGTCTAAAACTCTTGAATTTTCATGAAATTTACACCAAAAATATATTTTAGGTGAAGAGGTGAAATCTCACCTCTTTTTTCACCTCTTTTTTCACCTCATGAATTTTCCCGAAATAAAAAATAAAGTTGGTTTTTTTAAAAAAATATTTTTTTATTTTTATTGTAAGAACATGTTAGCAACAACAGCACCAAACTCTTTAGTCATGAACCCAACTTCAATGTTAGTAGAGATGAAAAGCTTCATTCCTTCTTCATATACTTTCGAAACAGAAATCCAGAAGATAAAGCAAGAACTTCTCCAAGGAGATTTAGATTGCACTGCGAAAGATGAAACAAATGAACAGTATCTTATGAAATGCAGGACATTATTGACCATCTACCTAAACTTCCTGAAATCCAACAACAAAAGCTTACTATTCCAGAATTCGATGAAATAGAAGTCAAAGCAACTGACTCAGTAGAAATAAAGAAGTTCATACGAAAGGTTAACTATGAGTTTCTTGGATTTCATTGCAACCACAAAGTCATGGACAAAGATTGCGATATGGTATATAAGAACATCTCTGACATATACAAATCTGGGGAGTTTAAGACCTACGACAACTTTGTTTCATTAGTTGCAAAATGTGTTTGGGAAATAAGAGATAAAGATAGAAGAGGTAAGGTATGGAACGAACAAATAAGACCCGCTATGTTCGAGATGAAGAGAGCAATTGACGCCTTAGTTGTTTTAGCAGGTAAGGTTTCAGAATATAACGCAAAAATGAACCCGCAATGTTCAAAATGTAAAGCAGCAATTAGGAAATATAACTACTCAGTCAAAGAGATAGAAAGAATGCGAAACGACTATGCAGACTTAAAGAAAGAAGCAGAAAAGCCAGCAGAAGATAAAATGGATATGTTGACATTTCTTAATAAAAACTATCCAACAGCAGAAGATTTCCTTCTATCTGACGTCAAGAAGAAGTATAAAGAAACTTTCGGTATCGTTAAAACATTCGATGTACTGACAGAAGAAATAGAAGCTACGAAATTGTTTAGGATTTCAAATATACATCATACAATTCATGTAAAACGCTTATAAAATAACAGGTGAAAAAAGAGGTGAAAAAGAGGTGAAATCTCACCTCTTCACCTAAAATATATTTTTGGGTCATTTACGCTCATTACGAAGAAGTTTTGACAAAACATTTACGATGAAATCATGAAAATTCATGAGGTGAAAAAAGAGGTGAAAAAAGAGGTGAAATCTCACCTCTTCACCTAAAATATATTTTTGGGTCATTTACGCTCATTACGATGAAGAAGTCTTGACAAAACATGTACGATGAAATCATGACAAAACATTTACGTTCATGTTTGACAAAACATGTACGATGAAATCATGAAAATTCAAGAGGGTAGAAATGAGGGTAGAAAACGGGGTAGATATACCCTTCTACCCTAAAATATATTTTTGTCTGTTTTACACTCATTGACGATTAAAGTCTTGACAAAACATATACGATGAAGTCTTGACAAAACATATACGAAGAAGTCTTGACAAAACATATACGAAGAAGTCTTGACAAAACATATACGAAGAAGTCTTGACAAAACATTTACGATGAAATCATGAAAATTCATGAGGTGAAAAAAGAGGTGAAAAAACAGGTGAAATCTCACCTCTTCACCTAAAATATATTTTTGCTGAAAAAAATGACCAAATTTCGTGAATTTCCTTAAGACAGAAAAAATAACGCTAGTTTTTTATAAAATATTTTTTTTATTTTGTATGTAAAGACAGATATGTCAACAACAGAGAACACAACAACAGTTATAGTCCATGAAGCTATAAATGAAGAATATGAGTGGGTTCAGTTTAACAAACAACTCCGTCTCATTCGTTCGGTCAAAGATGACATGTACCAAATGCAAAGTATTTTGACAGCATGTTTTGCTCCAGATACTATGAAACCACAAGACTGGTTTGAATTAAATAGCACTCATGAACTCCTCAGTGAGTTTGAACATGAAGAACTTAAAAAGATGTACCAAGACAGACAAAACTTACCATCGCATCTAAAAGGTATATATGTTCATAAGTTCCTAGTTAGTTCAATAGCAATGTGGGCTTCGCCTCGCTATGCTTGGTATATTTACAGACTTCTTGACGAACTTTGTACAAAGCAGAGAGAAGATATGATGAAAGAAGACAAAAGTATACAGAAAAGAATACCGCGTTCAGTACCAAAAGGAAAGGAAAAGAACTATAAGTATATGATTTATACTGAAGAGTTGGAGAATGAAGAAGACAGAGATATGGTTATGTTGCATTTAGTCAGAAGAAACAACAAAAGCTTTTACGACCTTGCTAAGATTTACAAATCTGACAGAAATTGGTTCTATCGCGAAAACTTACCGATTTCAATGACTCCAAATGAAGATGTGAAACAAATAGTTCAAGATACGTTACCTCAAACACACTATGATATGAAAGGTTGTACAATTCTTACCTTCAAAGAAGATTTGCCATTGTTAAAGGAAAAAATAACAGAGTATTTTGACAACTTCAAAGAGGAAGAGTAAATGAACCATTTATTTTTCAAGCTTGACACCAAAGATGGCTCAGGTAGCTCTATCAGGTAAATTGTCTTGTCCGAGTCCTTCCGACATTCCAAGTTCTTCCTTCCGACATTCCAAGTTCTTCCATCCGACAGAAAAAGTTTTTCCATCCGACAAGAAAAAATTTTCCCGACAACTGGAAAAAATTTTCCTGTTGTCCGTCCGTAAACCATTCAAATTTTCGAAAATTGAGAACTTTTTTCCCGACAACTGGAAAAATTTTTCCCGACAACTGGAAAAAAATTTCCCGACAACTGGAAAAAAATTTCCCGACAACTGGAAAAAAATTTCCCGACAACTGGAAAAGTTCTTCCTTCCAACAGGAAAAGTTCTTCCTTCCAACAGGAAAAGTTCTTCCTTCCGACAGGACACAAACGAATGTCCCACGTACCACCAACCGAGTCCATTCCAAAGCCAGAAGAACCGAAAGCTGCAGAACCACAACAGACTTACTAAGACTAAACACTTACATTTTTCAAGCTTGACTTCAGATGGCTCAGGTAGCTCTATAAGGTAAATTGCCTCATCTGCTGGGTCTATGTCGGTCATTGTTTCAAGACAAGTCTTGTACTTTTTCAAGACAATGTTGTATAAATTCTGTACAATATTGTACTTTTTCAAGACAATGTTGTATAAATTCAGTACAATATTGTACTTTTTCAGAACAATGTTGTATAAATTCAGTACAATGTCTCTCAAATTTGAGTACAGCTGTACTTTTTCAGAACAAGTCTTGAACTTTTTCAGAACAATGTTGTACTTTTTCAGAACAATGTTGTACTTTTTCAGAACAATGTTGTACTTTTTCAAGACAATGTTGTACTTTTTCAGAACAATGTTGTACTTTTTCAAGACAATGTTGTACTTTTTCAAGACAATATTGTACTTATTCAGTACAATATTATATTGTTTCAGAACAAAGACGGTTAAGACACAAACGAATGTCCGACGTCCCACCTACTGAACCCGTTCCACAGCCAGAAGAACCGAAAGCTGCAGAACCACAACAGACTAAGACTAAACTCTTTATTTTTCAAGCTTGACTTTTTACAATTTGAACTTTGTTCGCGTAGATGTGAATTCTGAAAGAAGTATGAGGGTCTTGTATGACTTTGTACTTCTCCCATAGTTCATGTCTGTCAAACTTACCTGCCATGGACTCTTTCATAAGTTCCATGAAATCGTCTTCGGACAATCCAGGGAAAAGTACAATGTCAGTAAGTATTCTCTTTACATCCTTACTTAAACTCTTTGCTGTCTGTACACAAATGACAACTGAAATGTTAAAGTGTCTGAGCTTCTTAAGAATTCGACACATATCTTGTTCTCTGTTCTTTAACAAAGGATGAGAAGCAAAGTCATCTAAGATAAGAAGACATCTATGAGGGTAAGTCTTCCAATCGTAAGATTGCAATTTCTTCGAAATGTATTCTATCTCTTTCTGTTTGTTTCTGAAGTGTTTCTTCTCTAATATTCTCTGCATTTCCTCATTTGGGTCTTTAAACTTCGAATTGACATACTCATTTATAGCATTGTACTTCAAAACTCTTCTTTGGTACTTCTTTATCCAATCTAACAACTCAGAGTCTTTTATACATACTAACTTAGACTTCTTTATAATATCTTTGAACGAATTGACGGTTTGGTCAAATTGACCAGAAGTACTACAAATGACAACTAACTCATAGAATGGGTTCTTCTCATCTAGTTCTTGTTGTTGTGCAGCCATTTTAAGATAAGTGAAAGTCTTACCCGACCCAGGTGGTGCAATTAGACCTGTTATACCATTCTGAGCAAATAAGAACTTGTCATGTATAGGCTTTATCTGAGCATTTTCTAACTTCCTCTTGTTCTTGTTTAAAACATTCTCAAATTTCTTGTCAATGTCAGCAAACTTTTTTTCTAACATATTTTTAGAAAAATTAAAATTTTTATCTTTTTGAAAATGTCTAGCGATTTCGCTATCTATATTCGAGACAAGCTTTTCGACAGCAAAACATCTGTAGACCATAAAATCTTACATAGTGTAAACAAGAAAGGTGAATTTGTTCTAAAGTTCTGTTTCTGGGAATATGACAAGAACCATAAAACATTAGGCAGAGAAGTCTTTAAGTTTGTCAATGACAGACTTGTTGACAGAGATGACGCCGATTGGAAAGATGAAGTCCAACAAAAGTTCTTAGAATGCAAAGAAGACACATGCGCTGTTCTTGAAGATGAAATAGAAAACAGAATAGAAGAGCTATTAAAGGACAAAGACCTTTTACAAAAATATGGTTGCGCCAAATTTGACATAACTCCACCAGAGAAGAAGAAGAAGAGAGAAAAGAAAGAAAAGAAAGTAGAAGAAAAGAAAGTAGAAGAAAAGAAAGTAGAAGAAGAGAAGAAAGAACCAGAGCCAGTTCCAGAGAAAAAGAAATTTGACATGTAAAAATAAAATTTTATTTTTAGAACATTTCTGGGTCAATGTCAATGTTCTCTTCCTCTTTAGGAGCAAACACTGGCTTAGACTCTAAAATCTTTTTACCCAATTTACCTTGAACTTCAACTATCTTAGACTCATAATATTCATAGTCGTCTGCTTTCTTTGGTTCATAAGGTATAACAAGTTTGTATGCTTTGCCTTCTTTAAGGTTTGAGAACCTTCTGTCAAAATTTTCTTTGACTGCTAACAAACCTTCTATGTCTAAGTCTTCAAATTTCGCACCATTTTTAGTCACAATAGCAAACTTAACTGGTTCGATGTTCCAAACTTTGTCAAATGTAGACTTTTCAAAATGGTAGAAGTAAACATTCAAATAAGCGAATGGGTCTAGTTCTTCTTTGACTTCTGTCATGTACTTGTTGACTGAAATATATTTCGTCATCTTTTCTATCGGATAAAAAAATATTTTTTTTTAAAAAAACGTTTTAAAATGGTATGCCATATAGCTTCTTGAATTTGTTAAGATATATATGAACGCATTTTCCATCTGTATCTCTAGCGTTTACATGAGCATAGCCTGCCTTAGTAAAACATACTTGTAATTTCCTATATTTTACGCCGGTATAAAAGTAGAAAGAGTCTTGTTCTTCGCTATAGTAGTAAAACTCAAACGTATGCTTACCATAGTCTGTAATTTCAATTGCTTCATCTTCTAGTTCGTCGACAAATTCGAATACTATATCTCCAAATTTGCCTTTGTTCTTATTGTTTTCAGAACAAGTGACCCAACGTAAATTTTCAAGTCTATTGTCATTTCTTATATGGTTTATATGGTCTACAAAAGGTAAATTGTTAGGGTTCGGTATAAAATGAGTTGCAATGACAATATGTTTAAAATATTTTTTTCCACTCATATCCACCATAGCATATCCGTCATTTCGCTCACATTCGCTTAAAACTCTTTTTGTCTTTTTGTTTCTGACTTCAAATGACTCACAACAGTGAATTTCATATTTCTCATCTAACAAACAAGTTTTCCAACGGTCTGTTCCAACAAACTCAGCGTACATTTCAAATAAAATAAAAAAAATATTTTTTTAAAATTTACTCAGAAAAATTTTTCTTTGTATATACGCCGTTCTGTATGTCTAAAAGATTTTTGACATTTGCCAAGAATGTTCGTTTAGAAGCTGCCATATAACCATACTCTTGACAATATTGTTTATACGAGTCGTACAAAGACCTTTCATCTAAACACTCAAAGTTAGTCTCATCTATAAACAGTTCATATACACTCTTGTTTGCTTCTAACAATGTTTGTCTTTCTTCGGTATATGGAATTTGTCTTGGATTGAACTTAGAAATATCTAATGTCATGAAATATGAGAACAAGTGGTTGTAAAAGTTAGGTGTCAAAGTTTCTGCTAAGTCGTCAAAATATTCTGTATCTTGCATATGAGAATCTGACGTTCTGACAACTACATATCTTCTGTCAGAACTTTCTAACTTCATCGGAACGGCATTGTTTGAAACCATGATGAAATTTGCAACATTTTCACAAACTCTTTGGTCTTTATATTTTCTTTCAACAACTCCAACTTTGTCTGTTATAAGACTCTTCAAAGCATCTGAGTTTAAAACCTTTGTTGTATCTATACTTTGAAGTTCGTTACATACTATAAGTTTCATATTCTCTATTGAAGAGTTAAATTTACCGCAGATGTTTTCTAAGTTTGTCATATTAGGGTTCGAATAGCCCTCTAACAGTTTGCATAAGATATCTGTAAAGAAAGTGTTCTTACCTGTTCCTTGTTTTCCAATTATAATGAGAGCAGTTTCATTTTTAGCACTTGGATATTGTAAGATGTTTGCAAACCAACATAAGATATACTCATAAACCTTTTCGTTTCCATTGCATATAATTTCTTTGACATGGTCTAACCAAGCTTCTATAACATTTTCTTTCCATTCTACTTGTTCGTATTTATATCCAGTGAAGATAGAATAGAAGTTTGGAGAAGGTGTATAGAACTTTATACCACGAACTGAAAAATCTTCTAACTTTGACAATAAGATATCCCAAGCATCTAACATCTTCATTCCAACTTGTACGACTTTTATTTTCTTAAGTTTCTGTCTACATTCTTGTTCTGAAACTATGGTTGCTCTTGGTTTGTTAAAGACAACATCCCATTCTTTCATGACATAACATTCTGGGGCAGAGTCAACATAAATGACTAAACGTTTCAAATTCTCGACTGCTTTGTTATAGTCTCTAAATGGACACATATTTCTGAATGCTTGGAAGTCATAAAAATCTGAAACATCTATTCTGTACATTTTTATAAAAATAAAAAAAAATATTTTTTTATTCTTGACTTTGTTGTTGCATTTGTTGTTCTTGAGCTATTTGTTGTTGAAGTTGTTCTTGTAGTACAATACTTTCACCAGTTGCATCTTCCAATTCGAAACTTTCTGCCGTCATTGACAAATACATAGGACATAAAAGTTTTACAGGAACAAAGTTTGCGTCGACTAAGGTTAAGTTTATGTTTGCTAAAGTGTTTGAGTTTACTAAAGCTGAAAACTCTGCATTCGAATGAACAATAGGCAAACCAGCAGAGAAAGTGTTGTTTATACGCATGAGTATCTTTTGGTCATAGTAGTTTCTGTCGACATTCGAATAACACTTTGAACCTAAGTTTGAAACAATATATAAGATTGGTGTACTTAAAGTCAATGGAACAGACAAACCTTGTATGACACCTTTTCCTGTTATAGGAAACTGTTGGTAGTAAAAACCAGATATAAGTTTTGTATTATAGCTCATATCGTTTATACTAAACTCGGTCGGACATCCAAACATAATGAAACCTGCTCTAGTTGCAGCACATGTTACATCCGTCCTTAAAGTATTAAATAAGTCAACAAAACCTGTTGGTGGTATATCTGAGTAAGTATCTTCAAAGAAGTATTTTTTACCATTCACAACAACAAAGTCTTCTGGTGTCAAAAGAGCAAAACAGGCTTTAGTCGTCATTGTGTTTAAAGTTAGTTTACAATACCGTCCTTGAGGACTTTGTAAGTTTGTTGTTATAGAATTATATGACTCAGGGTTTTTAGTCGTAATAGTATAAACCACTATGTCTTCTGCCATTTACTTAGCAAACAAACTTTAATGAAATGTTGTGGTCGTCAAATATTTTTATGACGTCTGGGAAACTATATTTTAAGTTCAACGTTTCACCTCCTTTCATAACGTATATCTTGTCAATGACATTATATGAAACACCACAGCAAGCAATGTCGGGTTCTATTTCTTTGATGTTTATATCGTCTGCCTCTGTCAAAAGTTTCAATAGTTCTTTCAAAATTTCATGAGGTGCGATGACATATGAGTTCACTTTTACAGGGTTGTGCTCAACCAAGTTTAACATTATACCCAAAGCTTGACAAATCTTCTCCTGAGTTTTAAGTTTGTCTTTAAGTTGTTGGTAGTCGTTTCGAATATCTGCAACAGAACTTAAGTCTCTGCTAACTTCAGGGTATGTTGGTTGTTCTTTTACAGGAACTATTGTTATACCATCTTCGTCTTCGTATGGTTTCCCCACTTCAACATCTCTTTCTTTGACATTGACAACAACACTTTGACTGTTTGTTTGAGTTGGTGAATTTAACTTTACGTCTGCCACCGCCATTAAACCTTTTGAAACACTTACGCTTCTATTTTTCGGAAATGACATTTTACTTAGAATAAAAAGATGGACGTATTTGAGTATCTCTTCGAATTGAAGCAGAACAAAGTTTACACACACAAACAATACAAGTTCATTGACAGAATAGTTCTTTACACAAACAATGGAAAATGTTATAGAATAGCAGTCTTTGCTGAACCAAAATATTTTCATAAAGCAAAGAAAGTTGGTATAACCGAGATGGTGAAAGTTCTTGACGTTGACAAAAATATAGCAACAAAACTGACCGATATTTCTAAAGGTAAGTTTATAATACAATTTTATGTCAAAACTGGCGTACTGTCAATATTTGACGGAGAGAAGTCAGTTCAAGAACAACTTACTGACCTGCTGCCAAAATCTGCTCGATGGAAGCTGTCGTTATACCAATCTGAGGAGCCCCAGCAGGTTTCATCGAACGAATTTTCAAAAGAGCATCTTCCGTGAAAAGTGCTATTGGTTTTGTAAACTTCTTTGCTTTCAATTCATTTGGACCGTCTCTGTCACCAGTATATTGTATTTGAACTGTACCAACAGTTGAAATACCACCCATAAAGTCTTCTGAGTCAG